GGCCCCACCTTCCACCCCCCGTACGGTGTCCTGGTTTTGACAAACGCAAATATGGTCACCCTAACCTATATTCCACTGAGTCGTGTCCTTTAGTCCGACAGAAGTTGACAGCATCAGCACACAAGAGCTGTTTTTTTCCCCCGCTTAGTTTATGCAAATTAGCCATGCGGTTTTAAGTTTTGTTTCTGTGAAAGCTGCATTAAACACATTATAATGTCAAATGGACTGATGTGGCTCTAGAGTGATTATGGTTTATATGTTGTGAAGTTTAATTTATTTATGCAGATTAGTAGTAATAATAATGTTGATCATTTTAATATAAAAACATGAATGATTAATTCTCCCGACGATCCATTTATGAAATTTCATCAAATGCCCATCCCTAATGCAATGAATGTTGACACATACAAGTTTTTAATCTGTATGCCTCATATGAAAGCTCAGAACCTTCAGAATTCACTCACTGAGCTGCAGAGGCTGCACTAGATGTGCTGCAGGTGCTGAGGTTTAGGTAGTGACTAGAGCCCGGCCGATATATCGGTTGGCCGATATTATCGGCCGATGTGGGCACCTGGAGACATATCAGCTATCAGCCGATATGCTTGCTGATAGGGGCCGATATTTCGCGTGGGCATGTGATACGTCGTTACAAATCTTAGACTCTCTCCATTATGTTCATTTAATCCAATTTACAGACAGATAAATGTTCTAATAAGTGGCTCCGCATCAGTATATATCTGCGGAGTCATTTGTCTGTGTGTGTGTCCGTACTGTCCCTGAACACACCCCCAGAGTTACGTCACTCACGTGTGTTTGTTTACACCTGCAGATATAGATCCAAACACTGAGATTATATTCTTTTTACGGACAATCGGTTTGAGTCTGGACTAAAAGGACATTTATTAGTGCAGACTTGTGATGAGAGGAGGAGCCTGTATGAGTGGTGAGTCTTGGAACTATGTTGACTTTGAAGCTAGTTTTGGTCATTTGTTACTGATTAGCTGCTGTAGCTCTTACACATAAACAGGTTGTTTTCTATTGGTCTACTGTAAATTGACTACATTGTCCGTATATTTGTTACTGGACCTGCATTGATATGTAAATGAGCTGTGAACAGACGTGTCAATTATGACATTTATGCATATAATTAATTACCGCGGCGCACACCCATTTACAGCTAAAGGCTAATTGTGTTAGTTTCTTTACTAGAAAGTAGTGATTGGTCGGTCGCGAACGAAGCGGCTCTTAGAGCCGGCTCTTTGAAGAACAAAGGGAGCCTGCTTCTTATTGGGAGCTGTGTTTTCTCTTCTCTCACTTTTTTTCTCTTCACACCGCATGCAGACTCGTAGTTTGACAGTGTCAGCGGCTGAAAACGAAACTTGCGAAATCTGCGTGTGCATAGGATAGAAAAAACGTGCATATTTGGCTGTAGTTCAGCATAAAATAAATAAACCAGGACTAATCTTGAGTTTGAGAGAGGGAGAGAGATAGAGACAGAGTCCTGACACTCCTGAGAGTCCTGCTTGAGTTTTGGTTTAGTCCTATTTTACACATGGTTTAGATCTGTTTTAGTCCTTTTTCAGTCCTGCTTTAGACCTGGTTCAGTCCTGCTTGCAACAAAACAATCTGAAGAGTCGCTTGGGAGCCGAAAGAGTCAGCTGCTTTTAGTGAGCCGAACCAAAAGAGTCGGTTCTCTAAAAAAACTGGAATACCCATCACTAGTGTCTAGAATGTGATGCAAAAATGCCATTAAGCCAACCTACTGTTTGTAAATATGACGTAAAGAGGCAGAAAAACAACAAATGTTGCCTAAATAAACCCAATTTAAACAATTCAAGATTTACAGTGAATTTTTACATCACTAAATATATCGGTGATTATATCGGCAGCGACAACTCCCATTATATCGGTTTCATATCGGCCACAACAAAATCCATATCGGTCGGGCTCTAGTAGTGACCATTCAGAACAGAGGCTACGTTTAGTTTTAAACCACTGAATTTCAGCATTGAAATTGGCCTTCCAAATTAGAGACTCATATGAGGCTCTTTCAGCTTTTTTGATGTCCAATGTTTTCATAATGAATAAATCTGCATTAAATTTGCCAGTAAAAGCTTTAAATATGTTTATATTTGAACACCTCTTATCTGAGGACTCAAACCAAGTATAGCTTACATTACAGCGCTAGTAAATAATGAAGACTTCTCACCGCCTGATTTCCAAGCTGAGGTAAGGTCTGGATGCGTTGCGCATTCCATTTGAATGGCATGTTTGGGTTGTACACCGCTTCAACAAGGACCCGGTCGCCCACTTGGGGAGTTTTCCCTTTGACAGCACTAAGAAAACAAAAGAACATGAGTACATTAAAATTAATAACCAAAATGGCAACTCAATAAATGCCAAATGAAGCAATGAGTAAAACCTGAGCTGGAAGAAGACGTCTTCATCCACAAAGCCAAAGGTGTCGTGTAGTTTGTTGACGACTCCAGTGAAGACGCGCTGTTTCTGGGGCTGAGTCTGCTGCTGATGACTGGAGCGGGGTGTGGGGTAGGACACTGTGATCTGAGCAGTCTGCTGCGGGTTTGAAAGACTCAAACTGGTCGGCAAAGCAACAGGAGGCTGAGGGAACAAACAGTGTTACAGGTAATTCTCTATCCCCAAACCTACATATTATCACAGCTTTATTCAGAAAACCATTTGTCACATCTCTAAATACCTGAGATATCAGTGCCTGCTGTGGTTGAGGAAGCTGAAAAACAGAAAAGTTATCAGTGACGAAAATGCCAGTGATGCAATTAAAGTACATTAAAGTACTTAAAACAATAGGTACCTCTACACTAAGAGTGCACTCACACTAGGACTTTAGAAGCGTGCAAGCACGGATTGCCCCTGAAGCGCGGCATGTTAGTCCAGTGTGAGCGCAAATAAACCATGCCTGGTTGGAGGAAGTGGGCAAAAGCATGGTTGCTTATAAATGCACACACACAATTTTACTATGAGCCCTGTGAGGTGCGCTGACATTCCTAATACAAGGAAAACAGTGAATAAAATCTGTTCCAAAACACATGGCAAACCCATGCTTACGTGCTCACCTTCAATAAGGACTGTGACGTTTTGCTACTGCTCGTCTCTGGCAGTCCTCACTGCTACATGCCGTTTTTATATCCATAAACTCACAGAGGAGGGCATATCTAAAGAACACACATCAACCTCACTATTTAATAGATATTTCTGCCACTGAACTTTTTTTCTCCACTAAAAGCCTTAGCACATGAAAAACAAACAGCACCGTGTGTTGACATCATTGGGCTGTGGCAGATGTGCAAGTGTGGGCCACAGAACCCTAAGCAATCCTGCTTGAGCACGGCATGGTTCTAAAGTCCTAGTGTGAGTGCACCCTAAGAAACTTGAATGCTTGAATGAATGCTTTCACTTTCAGAGTTTTGCTGCCTATGTTTTGGTGCAGTATGTTTTTTAACAGTGCTTCACCTGATGGGGCACATTGTAGAGCTGCTGCTGTGGGGGCTGCTGAGGCTGAGGCTGCTGCTGCTGCTGCTGCTGCTGATACTGTTGTAGAGCTGAATTGATCTGAGACTATAAATAACAAAGGCCATGAGACAAAGATCAATGCAGACACATGTGATCAAGGAGAGAAATCAATACAGACACGTGAAGGGAGAGAATTACCTGCTGTAGAGCTGCTGCTGCAGCTGCAGCCGCCTGCTGCTGCAGAGCAGCTGTCTGCTGGGACAGCTGGTAGTTGGCTGCAGACTGAGTGCTGAGAGAAGCTGCAGCCAGTGCCGACTGCTGAGAGTACACAGAGGGAGAGGCGCCCAAAAGAGAGGGCTGCTGCACACCCAGCGCTACACACAACATGTTTATTTAACAAAGAGTCTTGTTGGCACAATGAGACACAAGCCATTAGCATGTTTACGGTGCATACTCACAGTGCAGACTGTTGAGGTCCAGTGACTGTGCCGAGTGGCCTGGCTGGGACACTGCAGTGGCGGCAAACTGAGTCGCCCATGGGGGGTTCTTCTGTCCCCCGAACTGGGCCATGACTCACGATGAGAGGATAACGTATATTATTTTATTAGGCCAATGCTTCACCTGAGGAAGCATCAAATCCATCAAAAAATAACTTGGAAGAATCAATCAGTGAACAAAAGTAACTATCATTTCGTAAAATAAATACTACTACTACCACCATCGGCCAGTTACAGTTAGGTCTACGTAAATGAACAGAAAATCGGTGCAAAACGCAGACTCGGGTCAAGCTCATGCAACCATCTTTATTACAAACTTCAACGTATACATATACAGGCCCGGTCATCAGGGACAGAACGTGCTGCAAATACCGCTCGCACGTTTCGCTGACACAGCAGAGCTCCAAGGAAAGCAGCTAACATTAGCTTGTGTCTTTAGCTTCAGTGCGCCTCGTCAGGTATTTATATCTTAACGCTGTGCAAGCACATTACAACTGAAAATGACTGCGCGCTGTACAAAGCACATACACGTTTGTATGAACCGTAAACCTCCGTAAGAGCACAAACCTCTCTAGACACAGCGGATGTGTGAAGCTAAAGGTTACATAACTGTTAGCTTTTTAAGAGGCGCTAGTGCTCATTTGTCTGCACGAGGCCTGAGCTCGCGCAGAAGCCTGCAGTCAAATACAGTAAACATGCAGGAGCCCGCACACCTGCGTCAGCACACGGCCGCTACGATCACACTACAGGGAGCTATTCTTACTGCAAAACGCAAAATGCATCAAACAAAGAAAACACGAAAAAAATAATATGACATCTGCGCTGAGCTCACCTCTGTCCTCTGCACCGGCCTCAGAAGTACATTGCGCATGCGCAAATGAGGACGTTTATTATAAGACACGTGCTGATCAACCACCAACCATAAACAAGACTACAGTAATAAAGTGAGAGCAAATATAAGTCTGCAAACAGATGTTTTAGGAGCTAATAATCCACAAAGTTTAGTAAAGACAAAACACTTATTTGTGTCATATATATTACCAAATGATTTTATAATAGAGTTGTTTCATACAGGAATCCTGCTTTCTTAATGTTGAACATGAAAACAGTTTTTACACACAACCGTAAAACTTTACAGTACAGCCTTCTGTTAAAATGCACATATACAGTCAAAGATGTGTTATAAATAAGCACAGAACAAATGCACTCAGTACTATGCAATGTGGTATTTACACTTTTGTTTTTATGGAGACATTTCTTTGTTTATTCTTGTAGTTTACGTTCAACCTCTTCAAAAACCTTTGCATTGACTTCATCAACTTCATCTTCAACCTTAAGAATGGAAAAATAAGTTTCAAAGCAAACAAAGCAAAAGAAATTAGAACAGCTATTAACATATTAAAATTAAAGGGCCTGTATTAGGCTACTTTTTGTTCTATGTTATAATGTTGTTTCCTCATCACAAACACACCTGGAGTTGCGTTTTGTTTCATTCACACATGTTTAACACATAAACCCTGCATATTTAGACTGAGTTGAACTGAAAACACTCCACCTTCCACACTTCACCTTGTAATGTCATGTGGTAATACAGGAAGTGCACCACAGTGCACCACAGTGGACTGTAGACCTTCACTAGAAACATTTGGGTGATTTCAGCCCTGGATTTACCCATCTCTATTGAAAAAAGGTCAAAGGTAGCCATTAACTTAAAAACTACCACTACATGACATGACAAGACATGAAAAGTTTGGGCTTTGGCAGTGTTGAAAGACTAATAAAGGGTATTCAAACATGTGTGAATGAAACAAAAGATAACTTTAGGTATGTTTTTGATGAGGTAACAACATTATAACATGGCTTAAACCTCCTTTCACTTATATCTTTTTACCTGTTCCACTTTGTCAACCTCCGGGATATAAAATTGCATCATGTTTTGAATGCCACTTCGTAAAGTAACTGTTGAACTTGGACAACCAGTGCAGGAACCAACCAGCTTTAACTTCACCACTCCGTCCTCAAAGCCTTTAAAGATGACATCACCTCCGTCCTCCTGCACGGTTGGCCTAGGGACAAGGAACATGTTGGACTTATATAAAACTACTCACTTTCTTTCACTGTGGGGTCGTACCTGATTCTGGTGTCCAGGAGTTCTTTTATGAGTGAGACTATATCATCGTCATCTTCACAATGACCTACAATAAACAAAAGTTAAAGTTATTATTTCCCTAATCACCCATACTGACTTCCACCAGATGTAACAAAAGCCCCCACCCGGGGAGCGTTTCCATTACAATGGGTCCAGGCCACCAAATGTTAGCCCAATGCTGTTCAGTCACTTACACAAAGCCCAGAAGAGGCTACTTGGTTGGTAGTGAAACGCTGGCTGCAAAAGTTTACAAAGTCCAGTTGTTTTAATTAACTTGGTGTAGATAATGATAGGTTACACCTCTTAGTGATCTAAACACATATATTCAGGACCTACAGTTAAACATGACTGAATCACTACTCACTGCTTTCATGATGTATTGCACCAGTTGTCACAGGATCACCACTTTCATAAAACTTCGTAATGGTTTCCATGGCGTCGCGTTTGATGTGTGTCCACTCCACCTCCTCATCGCTCTACAGATGCAGCACAAAATGTTAATAATAACACATGTTTTACAAAACAGATCCTACAGAGCTGGTCTGTTTACCTTTGTTAGTGTTATGAAGTCTGGGCCAAAGAACACACTTTTTACTCCTTCAATATCAAACAAATTCCTGCAAAGAACATATCATGTTAAGAAACAGACCATGGAATGTGAGGCATTTCCTCATGTTATTTGGTCTTCATCTTTTCATTTCATTGGCACTTTTGATCTAGATCTGTTATATTATATTACATTACATTATATTATTTTAATACTAATAACATGATTTTGTTTAATATCTGTCTGCTTATCTGCATATTTACATTTCTTAGGAATGACCATTTATTTCTTCTCATCTCTCAAAACAAATAACAGGAAGTCCACGTTCATGATTGCAATAACAAACAACTTGTGGCTATATTCAGTAATAATAAAAATCCACCCCACTGACGCTGTTTAACGATGACGTAAGAAAAAAAACAACAGACCAATCTTATCTGTGCACAGTCCATCCCAGAGCAGGTCTCAATAAAGGTAATAAATCCAAAGAAAATAGAGCAAACACCGTGTCTGATGCAGTGTCTGGTGCAGGTTATAATGTTTCCTCATCACAAACATACCTGGAGATGTGTTCTGTTTCATAGATGTTTAACACACAAACCCTGCATACTTTGTTTAGTTCTTCTCTCAAACACAAAAAACACTCTGTTCCACCTTATGATGTCATATGGTAAAACAAGAAGTGCTCCACCACATTTTTAAACTCCATACAACTTCATTAGAATCCTTTCGATAATTTTAGCCCTGGATACGCCAATGTATACCAAACTAAAGGTAAAAGGTAGCTGTTAATGTGAAAACTACCACTTCATGACATCACAAGGTGGAACAGACCATTTAGAGCTTTAAAGCATTACTCAAACATGTGTGTATGACACAAAACATAACTCTAAGTATGCTTTTGAGAAGGTACTGACATTCTAATATGGCAAAAAGCTCACAAGACAAAATTTTACTTAATACAGGACCTGTAAAGATAAAATGCTTGTATGAAAAGGGTCTATGTCTAGTCTGGACATACACTGGACAACTCTGTCAACTCTAGATGAGTGTTTTTCTGATTGTTCCCACCTCTCTCAAGACAGTTGTTGCTAATAAACTGTAGTTCAGTCAGAACAGATTTAGTAATTAGGAAAAAGATGAGTTGGTGCCTATAGTAAATCTAGTAATTCCCTTTTTTCACCCAGAAAACAAACCTGGCTAAAGTGGAGCATTCTGCTGAGCTCGGAGAGGGGAAATCCAGTGTCCCACTCCCAAGTACGGCTTTCCCAGGCAGAAACTTCAGGCTCCGAGGGTTTGGTGTGTCCTGTGTTTCAATGGACAAGGCTCTCCCTGAGGACGTGACAGTAAACATGATAAGGTCAGTCACTTAAAAGGCCCTATAACACTGTGTTATAATGTTGTTTCCTCATCAAAAACATTCCTGGAGTTGTGTTTTGTTTCATTCACATAAACCAAAAACAAACAAAACCTGCATATTTCAGTCTCCATTGCAGTGGAGTGGTTGACTGCGTTTGTGGCTACCAGGCTCACAACTTTTTGTTTTTAACATTCTGTCATGATTTTAACCAACTAAAAAGTGCAGCATGTGCAGTTCAAAGGACACAAGTAAGGGACTGATGGAAAACTCTGAGGGAATTAACACAAGGGACTGTTAGATTGTGTAAAATGAACTGTTTTCTTGTATCCACGAAAACTGTGTAAGAGGCTAGCTAAATAGCTAGCTATGGACCTTTGAGATGCTATGGGGTTTTACACCATATGTGGCAACAAATGTGGCAGAAGATGTTCCAGAGGAAACACTTTGAGGGAATGGACCATTTCGTGACCAACTGAAACACCTGAGGTGGAGTAAGAACGAGGCCTTTCCTGTTGTGTTCACCTGGCGCCCCCTGGAGGCAGCTGTGATGCTGCAGGACATAGAGGAGGGACACCTTTGGCTCTTCTTCTCCTCAAAATGCCCTGACACAGATCTGCTGACCCTCCCTGATCAGTCCTCCTCTTAAACTGCACTGAGACCTTTGACTGAGACACAAAGGAGACTGGGAAGCAGTAGCAACATAAACTGCAACAGTTTGCTGCAGCATCACTTAAATTTCCCTCTATCTGTCATATTTAGCCTTAGTTTTTCTCTCAAAAAGAATCGCTTGTGTATTTAGCCCTGGAATTGTCAATCTATACTAAACAGTAGGTAAAAAATTTTATGTTAACTTGAAAACTACCACTACATGACATCAGATGGTGGAACAATGCATTTTGAGCTCTGTAGACAGAATAATAAATCGTGATTACTCAAACATGTGTGAATGAAACAAAACACGACTCCAGGTATGAGTCTGATGAGGTAACAACATTGTTACCTGGCCAAAAGCTCCACAAGAGGAAATTTGGCATATTATAGAACTTAATACTGTTTTCTATTTTAAATTCAACATCTTAAGCATTTTAAGGTTCATAGAGTAATTCCTACTGGACACAAGCGTGCTCCGGGTCACAGCCTGCAGTTTTCTGAACGCTTGGCCCCGGGTTTCTGTGTAGTAAGAGGCCCACGATGTGTCCGGAACCCTGAAATACGAAAATCACGAAACAGATCATTTTACTCACATTTCTGACTACATCATTGAACGTGAAACACCATTAGCTACCACCACAACAGAAGAAAATACTCGCAAAACCCCCAATATGAACGCGATGCAACAAAATCATGTTAAGATTACGATTAAGAACATATATAATCTTGATAAAAGATGTAAAGTTAATTGGTCTTTGATTGCCTGCTTCGTATTCTCTTTTTGTGTGCCTGGTCACTGTTATTTACATACCTTGTTTGTAAAAATAGCCTTATTTTTAAAAAGTAAACAATAAAAGATGCCTCATTATTTTACGGACGAATTGAGCAATGTAGTTAGCTTTAGCATCTTACGTACATTTAGCTTGCTAGCGGCCAGTATCACATTAACACACACAAATAATTAGTTTCGTTATTTATAATTCATTTAAACATAGTTATTTTATTCTTATACCGAATTTGAGTCAGATTTCTGGTCCGTAATAGCTGAAGGAGAGACGATCCCATGCGCGCCGCCATCTTGTTTGTTTTGGAAATGAGGACCCCGTGTGGTAGACGAGGACATCTCCTGACTGAACTCCAGCTTTCAACAGTCTGATCTACTTACCTGTGAGTTATGGAACATCAGATTGGTTTGTTTTGGCTCTTTTGTCAAGTTCTGAACCGTGTCTTCCAGTTTAAGTCGAAATTTTTAATCATTTGTTAAGATTTTTAGCAGAATTTAGCTCGAAGAAGCCCGGGGGATTTAACTTGTTACCGTAAACCTGCAGGGGAAAATAATCATTTCACTTTTCCCTGGATTGCAGCTGCTTTGAAGTAAAAAAAAAAAAAGTTATATAATGAGGCGTTCCTTTAGATCTGTCTGAGCATGAGGATCCAAAAAAAAAAAACAAAAAACACTCAAACACGTGTCTGGAATCGCCAATGGGCCTATATTCAAGGTTGTAGTTGACTGTATTTTTGTCTAAACTTGCAGTGCTGACAACAATCCTTTTAGTTATTTTGCATGTTAATACTGCTTGTTGCATTTGCATTCGATACGTTTTTGCCAGCTAGATGTAGTATTTTTATTTATTTATTTTTTAACATAATTTTATTAGCCAGAACATTAAAGACATTTTTACAATATATTTTTTTATAATTTGATTGGTCTCCCACTTTTAGTACACATGGGTTGGATTAGATTTCAATACTTAAGGAATTGACTCTATACTCAGTTTACAATTTCAATACCACAATGATATACAATACAATGAAATAATAATAGAATGTAATTTTCAACAACACAAAACAATAATTACCTTGTGGTTTTGGTAATGCTAGTAGAAGACTGGTTGTCATGTTTATTTATTTATTTTTTAACTATACTTTCTTGCACCTCTCCTTCAGATATGATCAGTTTTTCAAATTTTTGTGTCTATCCTTTGTGCATTATTTCATGTTTTTGTTCAAACAATAACTTCAAATTATAAATCAGCTGTTAAGTCCCCTACATGAGTATTTCTTTTCCTAAACGCTTTTTTACTCTTACTTGAGTCATTTCTTGAACCACTACTTTGTACTTCTACTTGAGCAATTACTTTGAAAATTATTTTGAAATAATGTCCGGTCCCTGTATGACCAGAGCAGGAGCTGTGTTCCCATTGCCGGCAGTAAGTAAGACCTGTTCCCTGTGCATGTTGGACTCCGCCAGGGCTGCCCTTGGTCACCGGTTCTGTTCATTGTGTTTATGCACAGAATTTCATTTCTGACCCAGGACACGCTGGAGGGACTATGTCTCTCGGCTGGCCTGGGAACGTCTCGGGATCCCCTTGGAAGAGCTGGAGGAAGTGTGTGTGGAGAGGGAAGTCTGGGAGGCCCTTCTCAGACCGCTGCCCCCACGACCCGACCCCAGATAAGCGGAAGAAAATGGATGGATGGATGGATAATGTTGGCTCCACCCACTTCTGGGCATAGACAACAAGCATTCTGACTGGGAGCGGGGTTTGCTCTCCACAGATCTGACGTGTAACTTGGTCTGGTTTGGTCTCCATGAAGGTAAAAAGATTTAATGCCACACTGTGAAATATTCCAGACAAAACAATAACATCTCCATGAAGACAAGCACTTGATGGACCCTCCACCAACACAATGCAGCTTTAAGTAGATTATAAAGCACAAAGTATTACAACAGTAATTAAATAGAATCACATTTTCTTATATTACAAGAATATAACATGTGCTTTCTCCTTACAGTGACTACAGCCAACACCTGGATGGCATCAAGAACTACACTCCACTGCCCAAGGAATTCATGGTATGTTCTAACAATCCAATTAACCCTTTTGCAACCACTGCTCCCCCTTCAACTGCCCCATTTCAAAACTCCATCATTATTTCATACACTTTTCCTTGGGCAAGAGCGTCAGAAATCCAGAAGTTTATCAGTTGTGTAATGACACAATCATGTGGCGAGGAGAACCAAGCCTGTTTCTGTTCTGGCAAAGTTAAATAAGGTGGGGCTGAGGAGTGGCCAGTGTTAGAAGAAGTACTCAGTTTTGGAAAAGTACAGATACTGGAGCAAAAAAAAAAAAAACCTAAAAAAGTAAAAGTATCACATGAAAAAACTACTTAAGTAAAAGTATTAAAGTACCTGTTTAAAAATGTACTTAAAGAGTAAAAAGAAAAAGTATGAGGAGTTTAAGGTCTAATAAAGCTTCAAATGTAGTGATTTTGATAAAGATTTGTGCTGAATTTTGTTCAACAGAAACAATTAAATTATTTTTTTTCTTAGCTGTTTTTATTTGTATATTTTTGTTTGCTTAAACTACAAATGTGTTAAAAAATAAATCTTTCAGGCTTTTTGGCAGGTCTCAAACTACAGTGTAATAAAAATACTTCTACTTCTCAGTCTGTTTCAAAAATGGAGTGGAGTGGAAAGTACAGATACCTACAGTAAAAAATATCCTCTTTAAAATATACTCAAGTAAAGTACAGATACCTTTATTTATTTTTTTTACTTAAGTACATAAATACAGTACTTTACTGCTTTTACTTCGTTACGTTCCAGTACTGGGAGTGGCAGCCCGAGAGGCGCTCTCTTAAAGAGGGCAGTACTGTGGAGTGAATGGTGGAGCCTCTGAGCACAAGGAGCAGGACTGACTTGAGGAGCAGGCTGCTTTACTACACTAAACAACAGTACCGTAATCTCCTCTGAGGAATTTAAAAGCGTTTGAACACGTCACCTGATAAGACTTAAGGATTTCAGTTTGTTAATAATTGTGTGTTTTTGTTTTGTTTTGTTTTTTGTTTTACATTTTTTCACAAAGACATGGTTCTGTGGATAATCCTCCCCATCACTCTGGCCTTCGTATCTTTCCTGGGGACGTGGTCGGTGTAAGTACAGTCTCTGATGACAAAAAAGTACTAAATATTTTAATTAGTTAGAATTTAATTTCACTGTTTAACTTTTTCTGAATTTTATGTAAATTCATGAATAAAATCAATGAATGAAACAAAGTGTATTAAACTAGTCTAAAAGCAGTAGTAGCTGTAGTAGTAGTAAGTAGTTGTACAATTAGTAGTGATGAGTAAAAAAGTAGTAGTATTATTAGTAGTAGTACCAGTATTAGTGCAAAGTAAAAAAAAGTACCTTATAGTGGCAGTAGTAATATTTGCTTTTTTAAGGTCCTATGCTACACAAAATAGATTCATGTGAGTTTTTAACCATGCTATAATGTTGTTACCTTGTCAAAAGGTACTTTTGAAGGACCTGGACTTTTGTTTTGTTTTGTTCATGCATGTTTGAGTAATCCTTTATTATTGGTCTTTGTACATCTCCGAAGCTCATAATGTTCTTTTCCACCTTGTGATGTCACAGAGTGGTAGTTTTCAAGTTAACAGCTACCTTTTACCTTTTATTTAGTCAAGATTGGCAATTCCAGGCCTGATATTATGCATATTATTCTAGTGACACTGTATGGAGCACCTCTTGGAACACAACATCACAAGGTGGAATAGAGTGTTTTTTGTTTGAGAGAAGAATGAAGACCAAATATGCAGGGTTTGTGTGTTAAACATGTATAAATTAAACAAAACTCAACTCCAGGTATGTTTTTGATGAGGAACCAACATTATTATATTTTAACATAGATCAGAAAATAGCGTAATGTAGACCCTTTAAACCCTAGTAAACAGTAACAGTAGCAGTAGTAGGCGTGTATTTTTTATTAACAATACATTTGCCATCACACAGATTTTGAATGCCACGTGGTACTGTGTTACATAATCTGTCATTCAGCAAGTCATTGTAGTAACATAATGAACTAATATATACTTTCTGTGTAATGTCCTATAATTATGAAAATAGTATTAGACATTCTCTGCTGATATGAAATAGTTGAATATTCGTAGCCTTCAGCCATAAACCATAACCGTGACTTCCTGTTGAATCATGTGCTTTTTAGATGATTTTTTTTTGCCCTATGAGCTGATAGATACCCTGCATATTTAAGATGAGTTCTGCTCTCAAACAGAAAACACTCTGTTCCACCTTGTGACGTTATTAATGCAGGAAGTACTCTACTCTGTTTTCAAACTTCATACACCTTCACTAGAGTCATTTGGATCATTTCAGTTTGGATCAGTTCAGCTTTGGGGATGTAGACAGACTAATAATAAAGGGTTAGTGAAATGTGTGAATGGAACAAAATAGTACTTTCCTTTATGTTATCATGTGGGCTTATATCTGTGTAATCCCTTAGTGGTCCAGGTAGTATTGCAGGTTTCATAGTGGTTCATGGACGTATTCTACCGGTAGTCTATGTGCTGATACAGCTCAAGATCATTCTAAAGCTATTCAGGAAAGGTTCATTTCTGTCCCGTGAATGTGACTTTTTAGTATTGATACCTGCTCAAATGAGTATCTAGTTTCGATATTAGTTTTAGTATAGATTTGTATCTGATTTTCTATACTTTTGAAAACCCAAATAGACAATTGTGTTTTTGATATGATGTAAGAAGTGATGACACAATAAAGCATGCCCAAACGAGCTATGTGATCAGGCTAGTTTTGTAACGTGTTGTGTTGATAGGAAGGAGGTATAGGAAAATATGATCTCATTGAAATTGAATGCCTGTTACATAACTAATGCTCAACTTACAGATGATTTTGGTGATCAGTGTTTTAAATGTGCACTATGTACATCTGGCATCCTCTTATCTCCATTTAGATGTTATTCCTTTGCCTGGAATGTTCAACAGTATACAGCATTAATCTCAATGATCTACTCAGCCAAGTTAATGGTGTCTATATATCCACATAACATCACAAAGTGGAACACAGTGTTCTAAGTATGAGAGAAGAAGTCAGCCTAGATATGCACGGGTTGCGTGTTAAGCATGTGTGAATGAAACAAAACAAAACACAACTCCAGGTATGTTTTGATGAGGAAACAACATTATAATATAGATCAGAAAGTAATGTAATATGGGCCCTTTAAGAATGCTTCTTTTTCGCCGTAACTTTTGCAGGTAACATCTCCATAGAAACAAAGAGGTTGCGGTCCGCCCATCAGAAAAGTTACACAGAGCACCTTTAATTGAGTCCAAAATGTAGCTCTTTCTAAGGTATTTGCTTGTGTAATTCTATCATTTGGCCAGGTTACCATAGAGACAGTGAAGTATTTGGTAAAATGTTTCCAGAGATGCTTTGGCAGTCAGTACAAGATACCTAGAAACAGCAATAAAGTACAAATAAGCAGAGGTGGGTGAAGCCAAAAAATGTAGTCAAGTAAGATTAAAGGGCCCATATTGCACTATTTTCTATGTTATATTGTTGTTTCCTCATCAAAAGCATACACTGAGTTGCAGTGTTGTGCATGAACGAGTTCAAAAGAACGCGTTCATTGAACACGTTCATTTTTCAGTGAACTTTGAACTGAACGCAACACTTTTGTAAATCAAGAACTTGAACGTGAATTTGTTCAAATTATGTGTGATGAACGACGTACGTCACTGTTGGGCTTCAGTTAAACGTCGGAATTTGTTTTCACCTGACGAGTGACGATCTGCTCGCACTTCACCTCGCGAAACCACAGCCGCGTGTCAACGCGAAGGCGACTCCACCAGCAGCTTTAGTGGAATGTACGGGCTCTTGTGTCTCTCAATGGGAAAGTCAATCAAACTTGACTGGGCGCGTTTAGCTGCTTGTATTTACCTTCTGTACAGGCTGACCACGGCAAACGCAAGGATTTCAAAAGTAAATTTCAAAGCACTAATTAACAGTCTATGTGGATCTGGGCTCTTTCACATGATACACAACTGCCCAGGGAGCACAATGTGCTGATGGTAAATGCACAAATACAATAGATACATGCTCTCTGTGGATTTTGACGGAGATACGCGCCTACGCTCGTGTAGAGCGTCAAAAAATAGGATGGATCCTATTTTCTGAAATCTACACGCACAGGACGTGCTGCTCCGCGCGCGTGTTATTTTACTTGGTACATATGTCAGTAACGCGCGTCACAATGCTTTTTTAACCTGGATTGAAATGGTGGGTTTTTCGTTTTTCTTCATACAAATTTGCTAAAATCACCGCGATATCAGCAGCGGTGAAACGCCGGAGGTGCGCCCGCGTAGACCGTGATCCTGAGCGAAAGGACCGACGCAGCTGACGCCCGATCGCACTCGGGGTTCTCTCAGGGGCGGTCCTAGATTCCAAGTTCTAGTCCAGGATTAGTCCTGGTTTGGTCCTGGTTTAGTCTTGGTTTAGTCCTGGTTTAGTCCTGGTTCAGTTCTGGTTTAGACCTGGTTTAGTCCTGGTTCAGTTCTGGTTTAGTCCTGGTTCAGTCCTGGTTCAATCCTGGTTTAGACCTGGTTAAATTCTGGTTCAGTCCTGGTTTAGTCTTGGTTTATTCCTGGTTTAGACCTGGTTCAGTCCTGGTTCAGTCCTGGTTCAGTCCTGGTTTAGACCTGGTTCAATTCTGGTTCAGTCCTGGTTTAGTCTTGGTTTATTCCTGGTTTAGACCTGGTTCAGTTCTGGTTCAGTTCTGGTTTAGTCCTGGTTTAGTCCTGGTTTAGACCTGGTTTAGACCTGGTTTAGTCCTGGTTTAGACCTGGTTCAGTTCTGGTTTAGTCCTGGTTTAGACCTGGTTCAGTTCTGGTTTAGTCCTAGTTTAGACCTGGTTTAGTCCTGGTTTGGACCTGGTTCAGTTCTGGTTTAGTCCTGGTTTAGACCTGGTTTAGACCTGGTTCAGTCCATATACGGCGCAAAAGTTCAGCATCTTAACAGTTCTTTTGGTGAGAGTAAATTAAAAGTGCTGCAATAGTCGTGTAATGTTTTACATTTTAAATACAGTAATATTGTAATGTAACAAATGACTTTGAAATGACAGTAACAAGTCATAAATAACACATTACAGTTTTAAAGTCACTTGTCCAACAGTGTATCTTGTAAAGTTGTTGTAAACTAGAAGTCAGTTTGAAAAATAAAAGCAGCCTTTCATTTACAGATCTCATCTAAATATAAAATGAACTGAACTTTGAACTAGTTCAAAATTAAAATTGTGAACTATGAACGTGAACTATTCACTTTGAACAAGTGTGAACTAAACTTTGAACTAGTTCATGAAAAGTGTGAACTTGCACAACACTGCTGAGTTGTGATTGTTTCATTCACACATGTTTAACACATAAATCCTGCATATTTAGGTCTTCTCCTAAAATCTGGGAAATGAGAAAAACATTATATCTGAGGAGCGGTGGAAAACAAACAGCAGATTTTTTCATTTGAACTACCACAGATTAAGAAAATAAAACTGTAGAACAAAGTACAAAGCACTGGGAGTGTGCCAGTAGCTCTGAAAACATTGATTGATGACGACTTGACTCAAACATGCACGAATCACTCCAAATACAACTTTCAGAGGGTAAATAAGCAGAGAAAACATCTATAACATGATCCAGTCCAAAATTCCAGTTTGCAGAGTAGGTCTTGCGTAATAGGTTTTGCATGGACCTTTATCAAACATAGGTAATTCATCATGTTAATTGCTTTCTTTTCCTCTTGAGTAAACACAGGGAGTTCTAATATAGATAGATTGGACAGCGCACACACAAGTAAATTTAAATTAAAATACTTTATTTATTCAGACTCGTATATCATGGTTTGGTAGTGTTCATACCTGTGTAATCTACGGGCTATAGTTGAGTCTGAAGCTCACGTCACACTAAATCCTGCATAATTGAATTCACAGTATTGTTAAAAACACAATGAATGTACCAGCGTAATACAGCAGGAGAATAATGCAGATCATGTATTCAAAGGAGAATATCAGGAGTTAGTCATTGTTGATTTCTAAGTGTATTACAATGCAAACAATGCCCAAGTCTATTGACTATTTAACCTTCACAAATGCTACTGCTATTTGGATATATGTTAAAGGTCCTATATTACACAAACTTGGCTTTTGTGAACCTTAAGCCATGTTATAATGCTGTTACCTCCTCAAAAACATATCCGGAGTGGTGTTTTGTTTCATTCATTATGTCTGAGTAACCCTTTATTATACATTTGCAAGGCTCAAAATAGTCTGTTCCACCTCAAGTCATCATGTGGTAGCTTTCAAGTTAACAGCTACATTTTATCTTCAGTTCAGTAGAGATTGGCAATTCTATGGTTGAAATTATCAAAATGATTCTAGTGAAGACATGTGGAGTTTAACACTTCTTGTATTCCCACATGGCATCACAAGGTGGAATAGTGTTTTTCATTTGAGAGAAATACTCAGCTTAAATATTCAGATTTGTGTGAATGAAACAAAACACATCTTCAGGTCTGTTTTTGATGAGTAAACAACATTGTAACATAGATCAGAAAATAGTGTAATATGGGCCTTTTAAATTAGCACTATGTAACTTTCTGTTTTTCCTGGAATGTTTCACAATATGGCATTAAAATTAACTGTCTTGCATTTATCCAGTTACCCTTGTTTGTATTACTAAAACATATATTTTATTACAAAAAGTTTAAAATAAAAGTACAAAGTCAAAAAGTAATTTTGGTCCTACTGTGAGTAAGTGACAAAAGCTTCATGTTGACAATATGAAATGATTTGAACATTTGTGTTTCTTGGACCACTCTGTCAGATATGATTTATTTTCTCATTTTTGTGTTCACTCATTGAAAATACCAGATAATGTGCATTATTTTATGTTTTGTCCTTCATATTACATCAACTTCAAATCAGATGTTATGTCCCAACAGTTAAGATGACTCTTTAAGCTACTCTTACTTTCCCAAATACTTGATTTCTTGGACCACTGCTTTGTACTTCTACTTGAGTAATTTTATTTTGAAGTAACAAAGTACAATTTTTGGCTACACTACCTTTATTTTCAACTAAAATGTGTAGCCTCAAAAAGTTGTCATGAAAACTGTCTCCACTTTGTCAGCATGCATTTAGAAATCCTGACAGACCAATTGAGCGACATAGATTAATAAAAACATGACCAATATGACATTAGTAAGATTTAACTTCATCAAATATATCAAATACCATTATAATTACTAACTGATTTCTATTTCTTTGTTTCAGATATGGCATAGCTTACTGGAATGGCCATGTGTGCTCCCTCAGTGACTGGTGAGTCCTGTCTCTTTGTCTGTGCTGCTAAAAATACACTTCTGTTTTATAAAAATTAAAATGAAATTAATTATTTTTCCAGGACCGGTGAAAATTTCTGCTCAGGAAACAACTCTGTTAACTGTTGTTTCGCCCCCACTATAAGGTAACAGTTAATTCAGTATAAATATGTTTACGAATTGGTCAAGTATTTTATCATAATTTTAATATAGTTCTTTTTTTTTTTAACCTTAGTTCAAGTGGAACATATGCACCGGAAAACTCACTCTTCACAGCGACAATCAACGCTGGCTCATTTTTATGTAAGTTCACTGTATGTCTAAAGATGTATTGTGTAACTTTTCTGGTGGAGGGTCCGTCACCTGCCTGGAATGTACCACAATATGACTTTAAACAGCTCTAGTTCACATTTAGTAAGATACAGTTGATTTTATAGCTCAAAAATACCTAGAAAAATGACATTCTGACTGGAAGCGAGGTGGCCTCTCCACAGATCTGACCTGTAACTTGGTCTGGTTTGGGCTCCATGAAGATAGAAAGGTTCAATGGCCATACAGTGAAACCAGAAAAGTTACACAATGCACCTTTAAAGGAGTACTTTGTAACTTTCCTGATCGTCTTGTCTGGAATGTCCTATATATGGCATTATCTATCTTGCATACCTTATCTATCTTTTTCAAGTTCAAGTAAGTGCATAAAGGTCTGGTGGCTCATTCTAACGGGTTTTAAATGCATATTTTTGAATGATTCGTAGTACTGACCACCAGTCCGTGGCCCTCGATTGACCCTCCGCTTTGTTTATGTTTTGATATGAGGCCCTTGAAAAAAAGTGAGATAACCCGATAATTAGACCAGATTTTTAGGGTTCATGTAACTCATTTCCTGTAATATTGACATGCACAGTCACATAATTAGTTCAAACTCTTTTTTAAGATAAATTCAGTGGTGGATAAAGTACTCAATTTTGTAACTTAAGTAAAAATACAGATACAGGGGCAAAAAGTTACTCACGTAAAAATAGTAAAAGTAAAAGTATTAAAGTGTCTGTTTAAAAATGTATTTAAAGAGTAAAAAGTAAAAGTATTTTGCAGAGAATTTAGAACAATTCAAGGATGAAATGTAGCCATTTTGGTAAAGAATTTAGCACATTTTTAAGATTCAATCGATTTCTTAATTTTTGTAGCTGTTTTTGTGCATTTGTGTTTTTGGTTTGCTCAAAGTTGTGACATTAACTCAAATTAAATGTGCTTAAAAATAACTGTCAGCCATTTCAACAGGCCTCACACCATAAAGAAAAGTACTTTTTACTTTTCAGTTCAGAACTAAAATGTAGTGGAGTAGAAAGTAGAGACCTACTGTCAAATGTAATGGAATAAAAGTAAAAAGTATCCACTGTAAAATGTACTTAAAGGTGCATTGTGTAACTTCTCTGGTGGAGGGTCCGCTAAATGCTTTTCTCCATGGAGATGTTATTGCTTCATCTGGAATGTTTCACAGTATGGTATTAAACCTTTCTATCTTTATGGACACCAAGCCAGACCAAATTAGAATAACTGTTTTTTTTAGGTACTTTTGAGCAGTAAAACCACCTGTAATTGAATAGATGCAAGGTAGAGCTGTTTAATGTCATACTGTGGAACATTTCAGGCAGAGCAATGACATATCCATAGAAACAAGCAGGTGACAGACCCTTCACCAAAAAAGTTTCACAGTGCACCTTTATGTAAAAAAATGTACTTGAGTTGTACTTTTACGTTTGTACTTAGTTACCTTCCACTACTGGATAAATTCAAGTGTTCAGAATCATAGTTCTAACTCTAACTCTGTTTCTCCTCAGTCCTGCTCTTCTGTCTGCTCCATCACGCTCATGTGATGGAGAAACATGGAGGTTTCTCTATGATGAGTCGGATGGCGCTTGTCCTGGGGCTGGTGGCTTCAGCTGGAGCCTTCATTGCCGGGAACTGTAATGTATGTGCACTATACATGCTGGTACAGACAAAGAGGGAGGGAGGGCTGGAATGTACTGTATGTGCACACAATACACCTGCTTACAGATGTATGTCCCAGTAACACATTCTGCAGTATGATATATTGCTAAAGAAAATATAAACTGTAAACCATAATACTGAGTGCCGCTGACACAGTTAAAAGGACAGTTTAGAATTTTGGACATAGGGTCTCATTTCCTAGTGAGCCAGAGTACTGTAGATATGTGGAGACACTTTTTGAAATATTCCATCCAGTTCTTGTATTTGGAGAGGTTGTTGGTACTAGGCTAGCACAAGTTCATGGCCACTGTTAGCTTGCTACTAAAAACAGTCTTACCCACTCCACAGTGTACCCGAGGCAAATCTGTTATTACACCAGACTGTCCATGTGAATGTCTGTGTCAATAGAATAATTTTAGAAGTAAAACTATCCTTGTATCGTATGAATCATCGCATGTTGAGTAACTATTTTCTCAGCAGCAGCAGAATTTTGCTCTGCACTAGTTAGTTGTGATGATGTGAATGTGGCCATAACTGGAACAGGCTTCTTCCTGTGCTCTATGTGTCGCTATGGCAGCTGCAGGTAAAAAAAAAAAACTATTACAGAGCCGGTAAGATAGGTGCCAGGTGATATCAGTCCGCCGCTGCCAAGCTTTCTATCAGGAAATACAATTTGCTGCAGCTGCTCAGACATAAGTCCTTCAAATGCAAGGTTGGTTTTACTTCTAAAATTATTCTATTGACACTGACATTTACATCGACAGTCTGGTGTAATAATAGATTTGCTTTGGGTGTTTTGTGGAGTGGGTAAGACTGTTTTTAGTGGCAGGCTAATAGTGGCCATTGACTTGTGCTAGCCTAGCACCAGCGACCTCTGCGAATACAAGGAGTGGATGGATTATTTCAAAAAGTGTCTCCACACATCTACAGTACTTTGGCTCACTAGGAAATGAGGCCCTATGTCCAAAATTCCAAACTGTCCCTTTAAAGCAGCATTATCCCCCCATTATCCCTGAGAGTGAGAAGCTAACTGTAAACACTACTCGGTTAGAAATCCTGTTGTTCAAGTTAGACATGAGCTGACTTGGAACAGGTGAGCTGATTTGAGCTCTTAAGCAAGTCTCTTACACAAATTACACTCACAAACAGTTTTTCAGTTAGTCAGCTCTCACCTTTTTGTTGGAAATCACCTAAACACACCTAAACAAGAACACGAACACTCATATTGACAACAGGCTGCTGAAAATGTGTGGTTTAAATCCATGTTGGCTTTTTTCAGACTATCTTAAAAAATTATTTACTTGTGTTTGTTAATGTGTGCATCGTGTCTCTGTGATAACTGGTGATTCTGCCAATATGCATACATGTAGAACCCCCCCCCCAGCTTGATATCACTGCAAAGTATCAGTACAGTATTGTTAATGAACATGAGCTGCAATAAATACATGAATATGAAATAACTTATTTGTTTATTCAGCTATCTGCATATGATAGTATTATAGTATCTTATCATAGTACAGACAAATAAGGAAATGTTCCCCACTAGTACAAAGAAAAAGTGTAATGTATGTGCACTTTACTTCCTGGAACAGACAGATGACGGAGAGGGGGTTAGTGCAGTTGAGCAATGTGTGTTGTTGTTCTAATGTAAGGAAGTGACAATATCAATCACTATTTGTTTTGAAGTATAGATGGTTAGCTTGTCTGCTGATAAGGCTACTAAAGAAAACTAAGATGAAAAAAATAAACAAATTTTTTAAAAATCCCAGTTTGGATTTGGTTTTAGATTTCAGATTTTACTTTTTGGTTGAAAATCATGACATCATGCTTGGGCCATAACTCCTCTGATGGACACACAAATTATTTTTGGACAAATAAAAGTACAAGAAAATACATTTTATTTTCAAATCATGGTTAAAGGTGCATTGCATTACTGTAGACGGCCTGCTACCTGCTTGTATCCATGAAGACGTTATTATTTGTCTGAATAATTTTTCAATCACAGGGGATTTTATTATCACTGTAAACATGCAGGATCACTTATCCACAGATCTGGACCTATAACTTGGCCTAGTGGCATCACCTCCTCGACACTATAGAACATTTCAGCAGTAGCATTTCTAGCAGATGATCCTCCACACCAGAGAATTTACACAGTGCACCTTTAAAGCATCAGAAAAGTGTGTTTACATAGGCTGGTTCCTTTACTGCACACTCACTCACACTCTTTATACACACTCCGGTTTATTGACAAAAGAGGACTGGTCACAAAAGGCCAAATGTTGTATGACTTTCTAAAAACACAAAGAATTTACCTAAATTCTGGAACACAATGTAAGTTTTTAAAATGTATATTGAAAAAACACAACTCTCTGCATAGTTAAAAGTAACTTATGCTATTGCTTTTTCTGTAATGTTCCACACCATAATATTAAACTTGCAGATCTATTTATTCAATTATAGTTTTTTATGCTCAAAAATACCTTTAAAAATATGCATTCTGACTGAGTGGTGTTGCCTCTTCACAGATCTCATCTGTAAACTGGCCTGGTGGCATCTCCTGCTTGTCACTGTGGTGATTGATAAGTTTAATGCCACACTTTGGAACATTGCAGGCAAAGCAATGACATCTCCATGGAGACAAGCAACTGGCGGGTTACATAATGCACTGGAACTTTTCTGGTGGAGGGTCTGTCACTTGCTTGTCTCCATGGAGATGTCATTGCTTTGCTTGGAATGTCCCATGATATGACTTTAAACATTTAGTCACGGGACATTCTATTGCTCAAAATAACAATAATTCTATCTGTGAATAGGGTTAGCATCTCCACAGATCTGACCTGTAATGTAGCCTGTAGTTGTCTCCCGTGAGATAGATAGGTTTAATCTCTACTGTGGAACATTCTAGTCAAAGCAATAGCGTCAAACTCCTCCAATATACACAGAAATTATTTTTTGAGAAATAAAAATATAAGAAAAGCAGCTGGGTATTTCTCTTCAAATGTAAAGTGTACCAAAAGTAAAATTTCTTATATTTTTCCCATGTGTTTGTACAGCCGGATTACCTGGCTCTACTCCACTACCTGGGTGCGGCGTTGAGCTTTGTGTGTATCTGCTTCTACACCGTCTTCCTCACGGCCCTCACCAAGAGATGCCAGCTCTCTGGGTTTGAGTCCTACCTGTACCCATACCGTATTGTGGCCTCCGTTATTCAGGCCATTGTCACCATCTGCTGTATCCTTCTGAGAAAATGTGTCTTTTATAGGTTTGTATTGGCAGACAGTACATAGGCAGGTTTCTTTATTGCTAGCCTTGTAGACGTTTGTGCACATACTCAAGACTGTTGACAAAAGAGGACTGGTCACAAAAGGCCCAGAAAATGTCACCAAAAGCAAACAGAAAATATATAGTATTATGGAGGAATGCCATTGTAAAAACACAAAGAATCTACCTCAATTCTAGGACATAATGTAGGTTCGTAAAATGTAAATAAAACCACAACCTTCTGCTTAGTTAAATGTAAGTTATGCTAACTGTAGGCACTGTTCTATCTAAAGCTTGTTCGACTTTAATCTGAGCTTTATCTGAACACAAGTTGGAACTACAACAGGGTGAGCTGATTTACTGCAAAGTATCAATATTTTTTACTATACCTATTGCCCTAAACATCTGAATAATCGACTTGTTAATTTGCCTAGAATAAGAACAGCACCAGGAAGTACATAGCACTGACGTTAGTTAAATATAGCGGACAGTTTCCTTATAGCTTACACTTCTCGACCTCTATCTGCCATTTGCCCTTAACTACCTCTCTCCAGACACCATTTTGTTTGCGCAGGAGGAGTACTTTTACCTTCACGTGTCGGCCATCTTTGAGTGGATGCTTGGCCTAAACCTACAACTGTTTGAGCTCTCCTACGCTGTGGAGTTCTATTATTTCTCCTCGTACATGATCTCCAACCTACTGGGCAAGAGGGATGAGCAGAAACCTCTCATGATGACCCTCTCCTGATGGCCCCAAAGCAGAAGACATAGAGACAATGGAGGGAGAGGGCTGTGGCTGGGCCAACAGTAGTGTTTTTGTATTTATTAACTGGACTAAAGTTTTTTGAGCGAGACCTCCTTTTGATCAGACTTTCAGATCGGGAAAGTAGATGGTTAGGTTTCACACAAGGACTAAAACAAACTCAAACAAAATCTACATTAGGACTAAACTGGGCTCAAACCAGGACTAAATCAGAACACAGACCACATGATATGACAATTTTAAAAAATATGCTTTTTTGATGAGATCACAATATTGTAATTTGTTTAAAGAAGGGGTATTATACAAAATCATCCTTAAATGTTTCACTAATTTAGCAATCTCTCCCAGGCCCCAGTTGTACCCTCCTTACAGTTTGCTGTAAGATTCTGTCCAATGCTCTGCCCAAAAGCCTACATCACCCATGACATATGCACGCAACAAATCTCTATAAATATACACAAACATGGTACAAAACTGTACACAGCAACTTCACAAACCTGATGTGATGTGCAGTAGTTTCATTTTCACAGAGAGGAACGGGAGTGGAAACTGAGAGCGTCAAAAACAAAAGTTAAATTTATATATGTTAATACATTGTTTTCGGTGAATAGAGCATTTTCAAAGCTATCTAAATATGTAATGTGTTAGCAATTAATCCCACATAGAAGTAAAATACCCCTCTTTAAAGCAGCTCTATGCTCAAACCCAAACAGTTTCCCCCACCCACTCCTCATATTGGTCAGCTTCTATCATTTTCAGAGTGAGTGACAGTGGATGTAACCAATCACAGTGAAGTATGAAATTTCAGAAGGAGCAGATGGTTTCACAATGAACCTTAGGTGTGTTTTCTGGTGCAGGGTCTGTTAAACGCTTTGGAGATGTTATTGCTTTGTCTAGAATGTTTCACAGTATGGCATTAAACCATTTTGCTCACAGTCAGAATGCCTGTTCTTCTAGGTATTTTTGAGCTATAAAAGTACTTGTAATTGAATAAATACAAGATAGATCTGTTTAATGTTATATTGTGAAACATTCCAGGTAGAGCAATGCAGCCTAATGCACTAATACAACATGTGATAATACAATTTATTATTTGAGTTTTTGGTTCATTACATTTTAAAACTTGCAAAATGTTTACATATTTGGCAGTAATTAAATGAATTGATTGTTATTGTGTCTAATCTAGTTCAAAACTGAGAAACTAAAACCTTACTACATGGAATCTAAATAAAGGATCTACTTGCTCTGACGCAGAGTACATCAAGATATTTCTGTTATGAAGAGCTGTGAGCAATATTATTTTGAATATAGTTTAGCTCTGAATGTGAAGACTGGACCAGGGCTAAACCAGGACTAAACCAGGATTAAACCAGTTCTAGACCACTACAACAGAACCTAACATTCTCAAACCAGACTAAACCATACTAGTAAAAGAACCACAAGCACCCAACTGAAGGGCTGTATGTTGTTCTAAATCGGTACCAGATTTCTGGACTGGACCATCTCAGACTCAAGACTGTTTAAGACTGAAATGAGACTAATGCAATATTTAAATACAGATGGTTAAAAGGTGTTCTGAAATGTGGTCAGTTCTGAAGGAGGTCTGAAGTGTCTACATTGTGTTACTGGGAGTCTGCTTTCTACTTATTTATTAACCCACACAATGTTCCGTACATGTCAGGGGCCAACAGAACAATACAAACCAACAGTGCCATGGTGTAGTTCAAAAGAAAAGCCAAAGAATGTACTTTTATTAGACTTTAGAAAGTGAAATATTTCTCATGCTTTTGCACTTTAATAAAAGAGTTAAATAAACATTTCTGACTCTGTGTGTTCTGAGAAGATACTAGAAGCATCTCCAACTGTCTCCAACACACCTTAAGGATAGGGCGTCCAGGCGTCATGACAGACGTCAGGTGAGTGACAAAAACACTGGGTGTGTTCTGTTCAGTTGTCACGGGTGTCTCTGTACAGAGAGCACACGCACTCATACATGTGGACAGTGCACAGGTCTGGACTGTGCTGAGTCATGTTTATCTTACAGAACAAGGTCTCTCCAAATATGAGACACGACATAATAATCTGTCCCCGTGTCCACTGTGGACCCCACTGTACTGTCAGCAGTAGATAATGCAGTGTATTTATCGTTTGTACTATTCATATATTTATATGTGGACACTAAACAGGCAGTGAGCTTCCAGTAGTATTGTGTTTGAAAGAACCAGATGTACCCAAGGGTACAAATAACACACCCTAACCTAAAAATACTAGCAGCACACAAGTTTCTTCAGAGTAGAGTGTTGGGTCCTGGCTCTTTAAAGTGCCTCTGGGTTCCTGATGCAGATTGAGTGTCCCCACTTGGAAAACTACCTCCCTCTTTGTCCATCAGAGTTTGACATGTTGGATCCTTTAGCAAGACAAGTGTGCAGTTCCAGTAGGAAATGAACTACCAAGACCTGAAACAGGGGAACCCTCTAAACTGTTGTCTACTGCAAGATGAGTAAGTAGAATACCCAGAATGCTTAGCACTGAAGTTTATGTAATAGACAAACTTTGCCACTAATTTTGTGAAAAGAATTTTTCATGGTTGGTTCCTCCACCCCTCTGACTCACAGCAGCAATCAGGAAGAATGCGTCGCCACAGTGACGGTCATGTTTACACCTTATTCTTATTCTCTTGTACAATGTTGTGGTTAAAGAATATCCTTTAAACCCACAGCAGGTTTACAAGAGGCTGTGGAGAGAGAGGCGTGTGACAAAACAAAGGAGACAAACTTCTGGTTTTAATGCAAAGCACTGAACCTTTACTTGAAAGAAGGTAATATACATCCTGGAATTACAGAGAATAAAGAGACATTATGAGCTCAATCTTTTCACAATGAAAATCCTCTTGTGGCCTGTGGCCGAGCAGAGCCTGTATCTACAGTCTGTTAGGAAGAAACAGTGACAAGCACACCTACGTCTGTCAGCATCTCACTGTAAAAAATCATCTATGCAGTAGTCCACATTATTAACTTCAATAACAAAAGGTAGAAGAGGGCATTGAAAAACACAATTCATGGTTGTTTTCATCTAACTGCAATGCATACATTATAAATAAAATGTAAAGGGAAGAAGAAAGAAAAAAAAAAAAGTTCAAAAAAACTACAAGCATTATTCCACAAAAATTCCAGCATGGCTGAAACAATAAGTGGCCTGAATCCAAACGTGACCTTTTGGACCTTGACCACAGCGTTCACAAATGTTAAGATAGTGTAGATTCTTACGCTGGTGCATGTGTGAGCCCCACTTCTGCAGAACACGAGATAAAATTGCCCTTAAAACATTGCTCCGTGGAGGAAAAGCAGCCTAAGGAGGGACCAAACCAAACGCCCTCCACACAGCTCCAGCAGAGGGCGCACTGGGACATTTAAAAGTAACTTCAGTGTGTTCTCCAGCGCTCATGTGACCTGCCTGTGTCTCAGTAACATCTGTAACACGGAGCTGCGTCTGAACACACTAGACTGTTTAAAAGGAGGGACACTACAGGAGGCGACAGCTGTGGGTGGTGTTAATGGTGATGGTGCGTGGGAATTTGTTTAGATCTACACTGGGGCGGAGGGGGTTAGACTGAGTACATGTTCTTGGTGGTGGAGCCGCTTTTGCTGGAGGTGTCATCATGAGACTGGTATCCGATCAGAGCTTTCATGGGGATGCTCAGACGCTCTTTGTACAGCTGCCTGTGGGTGGAGAGAGACAAGTGCAGAGAAGTTAGTGCTGTGGCTCCATCTGGTGGCCATACAGTGGTAATGCTCTATGCAAGGCAAGCGGATTTGTATAGCACAATTTGTACACAAATTGAAAGTGATTTACAGATCATGAAATATATTAATATCACAACACAGACAAATCAAAAGACAAATAAAAGGTGCATTGTCATTGTCATTGCTGTGTCTGGAATGTTCCACAGTATAATATTTTACAGCTCTACCTTACATTTATTCAATTACAGCTGGTTTTATAGCTCAAAAATATCTAGAAACACAGGCATTCTGACTGTCATCAGGGTTGCCCCTCCACAGATCTGACTTGTAACTTCGTCTGGTCTCCATGATTGATAGAAAGGTTTAATGCCATACTGTGAAACATTCCAGGCAAAGCAATAACTTCTCCATGGAGAAAAGCATTTGATGGACCCTCCACCAGAAAAGTTACACAATACACCTTTAAAAAGAAGGAGAATACAAAAATCTGTGCTCTACATTTATTTTTAGATACATACTTTATTGATCCTGAAGGAAATTCTAATTTTGGCGGCAGAAACAATGAAACAAACAATACAGCAGTCCAACTTCTTGCATTTATCAGCTATAGGGATGCATTTTACTACTATACATTTCTATATTTAATTTTTACTTGTACGTATACATTTATATAATTATGCCATATTTGATACCAGTCTCGCTTATTTTGTATTTATTATTACCATTTATATTGTTGCACTTTGTTATTATATTTATTGTAATCTGTGAGCTACTATGTCCAAGTCATTTCCCTTGTGGATAAATAAAGTTTGTCTAAAGTCCAAGTCCAAGTCTATGCTCTGCACAAGACTCACCCTATCGTCATGATGGCGTCCCTGTTTTGGCAGTTGCTCGTCCAGATGGCTATTTTGTCTCCTTTAGGTCTGACGTTGACCACGGCGCCGCACACGTCCTCACTCGCCTCGTCAAAGGACTCGCCCACTAAACACAAGAGCTGAGGGAGGAACAGAACCATAAAGCAAAGTCACGTAAATCAGTGTTTGTGGTTTTGCCCCATTTAGAGTTAATTTTATCCACTTTTATGTCCTCATTTGAATAAAGCAGTTCCCTTTCAGATCTGGTTAAGCACTACATTAGGCCTGGAAGAGTCCGGTTTTAGACCTGGTTTAGACCTGGTGATACTCAGAAAGCCACATTTTTTCTTTGGAGTAAAAGTCTGAGAGCCTCTGACATGAATCCTTTTTTTTTTTTTTTTTAATTCACCGCCAAACATAACATATAACCTGTATCTGAAGTATAGTGTAAACTGATCACATTTAAATCTGACAGTGACGCTGATAACACTCTTACTATCTTTCTTCATGACTATTGGGACACTATTGCTTTCTTAGTATTAGAGAGAGGAAGACAGAAAGGGAGAGAGAGAAAGAGAAAGAAAGAGAGAAAGAGGTTTACTTTATATTCATGTACTAGATATTTTTAGGGCTAAAGAATTTACGCTTACTAAAAAATCTGGTGAATTTAAATGACAAACGTGTTCAAAATTGTTGGCACTTCTCTGGCAATGAAAGATAAAATCAAAAGTCATCACTGAAATAACTTGAAACTGATAAAAGCAATAATAAATAAAAATTTACTGAAAATTGTCCAATGGAAATCAAACATTGCTTTTCACCTGTGGTTAAACAGAATAATTTGAAAAAACAAAATAATGACACTGGCCTGGACAAAAATGATGGTACCTTTAACTTAATATTTTGTTGCACAACCTTTTGAGGCAAACAATTTCGGTAACTGTCAATGAAACTTGAGTCAATGAGCCTGAGGACATTTTTATTTATTATAGCTTTTCTTAATTTCAGGTTATTTCAGTGACCATAGTTGATTTTTTTCATTACCAGAGGGGTACCAACAATTCTGAACACATCTGTAAACCATATACCAGTTGTTCAGTTTATTTCTATATAATCACACTTGAATCACACTTGAGCCACATAACCATAAGATGTTTGGTAACGGGTGATGACTTCCTTGTGGCATGTCATTGTATTCTTTCTTTTTTGCTTTTTCAAATTGCCTATTAATTTGTCTATTGTAATTTGTCTAAGTTAAACTAAATAAATAAACAAACAGATGTAATGGTAGCATTCCGTTATGTTCGGTAGACCAACAGTTACAACCAGCTGCCTGCGAGTGACATTGACACGATTAAAGACCCCATCCCCTTTGGCAGGTTGTGTGGGACGCTGCTGCTGAATCCATGGTTTTATCAGGTGCCCAGTGTCTGTAACTTAACGCCTTCCAGTAAGCATGAATAGGGCCTATACTACCACAGCAGCACAGAGGAGCTGGGAGGGACTCACTGGCTGTTCACATATACAATAATATCTGATTATTGTTTAATTTCTGAACATTTAAGACTATTATTATGTAAACCACAAAATCTGATGTGAGTGATTAGAGGGACCATGATCAGAAAGAAATCAGATGATCTTGCCATCTACATGTCATTTTAATACTCTTATAACTCCAAAAAATGTGATAATCTGATTTAGAGTGCAAAAGATTTTCAGGGAACAAGAGACTAAGCTTTTGGGAAAAAAAACATTAAACCCAAAATGCAACTAGTTAAATGTGAACTCTGATGCTCTATGGAGATTTGCCTATGCCCTTTTACTAGCAACTTTCATGACAATTAAGGCTTTAAAACATTATCAGCTTGTATTTCAGCCATTACTGTGTCTGTTATCCTGAAACAGAACTAAAGAGAGGCTAAAAATAATCTCTTATGAGGTAAAAGCTGCTCAAGGAGCCCAAACAATCCCGTGACTGTTAAAATTTGCCATCGACTTTCCAAAAACCCCCAAAACAAACAAACAAAAAAACATCTTAAAAAGGCCTATACAAAACCATTTTCTGATCTATATAATAATGCTTTTTCCTCATCACAGGGCTTTTGTGATTCATACACAAACACAAAAGCCCGGCATACTTAGGCTGAATTCTTCTCATCAAAATTATTATTATTCTGTTTACATCTCCAAAGCTCAAAACACTCTGTTCCACCTTGTGATGTCCCTACTGAACAAAAGATAAAAAGTACAGTTAACTTGAAAACTACCAATTCATGACATCACAAGCTGGAACAGAGCATTCTGACCTTTGGAGATGTACACAGACCAATAATAAAGCGTTCCCCAAACATGTGTGAATGAAACAAAAAACAACATCAAGTATGTTTTGATGATGTAACAACATAATATAACTAAAAGGAAAATTTGGCTTGATATAGTACCTGTAAAGTAGCTAAAAAGAATCAGACTTTGCTCTTCTCACCGTCTCCATCCAGTAGCGGTCCAGGTCGTTGTGTCTCTGTTGTTTGTTGAGTGTCATGAGCCATCGGCCACCCAGTTTATTCCTGTCGTCCTCCCACATAGGTTTAATACCATCCTGAGGTATAGAGAGGTAGGGTCACTTTACAGTCATTTACATTTTTTTCAGAGGCAGACTATTACCTTCAGAGTAATGCAAATAGCTCAATGGTTCACATAGTATTTTTTTACTTTATTATCCCTGTAGGGAAATTGTCCACTTTTGACCCATGCTTTAAATGTCGCTTGGGCATCTCAGGAGCAGTGCACATGTTCTGTGATCATGCTCTGGGATTCGACCTATGGTGCATGTTTTTGAGTCGATGGGGGAACGCAGAGTGCCCGATGGAAACCCACCCAGACACGGAGAAAATGCAGACTCCACACAGAAAGGCAGAAAGTGTTAGCCACTCAGCCATTGTGCCGCCAATTGGACTTTATTACACATAGAAAATGGTGTAGAGCCTTTAAAAAGTTATTCGCATTTCTCTGTTCCCTTACCTTAAATAAGCAATAATCACAGCCAAATCCGAGTTTGCTAGGTTGCTGTATGTGGTTATATAACCTGTAAAAACACAAAATGTTCAGTTAATGATGATGAAATCCTTAAAAGGGCCCATATTATGCTATATTCTGACCTATGTGATAATCAAAAACATATCCTGAGTTGTGTTTTGAGTCATTCATTTGATATATTAGTCTGTCTCCAAAGCACAAAACTCTCTGTCCCACCTTGTGAGATCATGAAGCGCTGGTTTTCAAATTAACAGCTACCTTTTAACTTTTATTAACTTGAAAACTACCGCTTCATGACATCACAAGGTGGAACAGAGTATTTTGATCTCTGGTGATCTAGACAGATAATAATGGATTAAGAATTACCATACTCAAACATGTGTAAATGAAACAAAACAACTCCAGGTCTGTTTTTGAGGACGTAACAGAATTCTAACAAGGCTCACAAAAGCTTACAAAAGTCCATTTTGCATAATACAGACTAATCTTTCCCAACCCCTTTTTCACTAACGCTATGTAGAAGAAGTTACTCCCATTTGAATTTAACAATGAAATGTCAACTCTAGGCACCATTATAGAAATTTAAGAGGATTTGCATATTCAGCATGTGATGATTGTGATGCATGGTTTCAGATTATAAACTGTGATGACATCATTCTGCCAGATGGGGGGGCAAGAGACAGGTTTCCCTATTGATTACATTGTACTGTTCCATGAATTATCTGGGTTAAATTGAATTCACAAATGTTTAATCTGAGGTTTTCTATCACTTACTAAACCTATTAAACTCTTGGATTACAACAGAAAATTGCTTTATGACAATATTAAATCAAAGGTCCTACATTAAGCAAGATTGACTCCTGTGAGCTGTTATGTTAAAATACTGTTACCTTACCAAAATATACCTGGAGTTGTGTTTTGTTTCATTCACATATTTGAGTAACCCTTTATTATTAAGCTGTCTCAGTCTCCAAAGCTTAAAATGCTCTGTTCCACCTTTTGATCGCATGTAATGTTCAGTTAACAGCTCCTTTTATCTTCAGTTCAGTAGAGATTGGCAATTCTAGGGCCGAAAATATCTAAATGATTCTAGTGAAGGTGCTGGAATTAAAAAAAACAAAAACAAAAAAAAAACAGTAGAGCACTTCCTGTACTTTCACATGACATCACATGGTGGAAACACGGTGTCTGAGAAAAAAAACTCAGCCTAAATATGCAGGGATTGTGTGTTAAACATGCGTGAATGATACAAAACACAACTCCAGGTCTGTTTGTGATGAGGAAACAATATTATAACATCCATCAGAAAATAACGTAATATGGATCCTTTAATATGTGTTATTTCAGTACACTAAATGTAAAGGGTCATATTGTGTGGTTTAGAAAATGACTTACGCCCAGAAATCTTCCACTGTGTCGAACTTTGAAATCAGACGCAGGTTTTCTGTCCAACTTTTGCTCTTGTCATTTTTGAAATACCACAAGGCCCACCTGCAGAAACACAAAAAAAGACATTAAAGAGGAGATATTACTCTTTTACACTATACTCAAAAAGGACTAAATTGTGTAACAAGTTTTAGTACATTTCAGTATAACATATATACACATTTATAGCCGAGGCGAATGATAAACAATACAAAAACACACAGGGCTCACGTTATAATTTGACATATTGATATACACCAATTACAATAACACATAACACTTTTTTAGCACTTTTCTTGACACAGACGCTTCATGCAGTTCAAAATAGACAAACCACAAATGAGATCAAATCAATCGATCAAAATGAGATGCAGTTATTTGAAGACAGTTTTGAACAGGTAAGTTTTAGGGCTTTTTTGAAGAAGGGGAGTGTCGATGAGTCTCTCAGTGTCGATGAGGACAATCACGTCTGACTAATAACTCACTTATTAACAGAGTTTGGTGCTTCGCTCTAGCCTGATTCATCAGTCGGTTTCACTTCGTGGAAACCGTCTGTCCTCACAGCACTAGAATTCGTTTGCTTGACGGTAGGCGGGTACAGTATTTTTCAGGCTATTAGGCGCTCTGGTTTATAAGACGCACTGTCATTAAATGATCTATTTTCGAACTTTTTTCACAAATAAACCGCACTGGACTTTAAAAAAAACACAACAGTTAGATGGGTCAGTCAGAATTTGTTTGGCGTGTTCACGGTGACTCTCAACTTTGTTCAATTGTGGCATGTAGGGAGGGTGCTGTCTAGGTCCGCTGGATTGTCAGCGTGTTCGCAGTGACTCAGTTGTTCAGTTGTGTCTAGAAGCGGCACATTGCACTCGCTTTTTCAGTTCGTTCCTCCGTTCGATTCCTCGTCCGTGTGGAGTGATGAGTGTGTCTGTGGGTGTTTTTCGCTGCTCGGTCGCTGTCTGCTCCGTGCGTGTTTGCGTGTGCTGCGGCTTTGTAGTTTACTGAAGTTGTGCTGGGACACCCAAGTGGATTCCTGTATAGGGCGCTCTGGATTGCGGGGCGCGTAGTCATTTTTTGATAGGGTTAGAGGCTTAAGAGCGCGCCTAATAGCCCAGAAAATACTGTACTTTTTTTCATTTAACCGATCGCTGCTATTTGGTCATAACGTATGTAATGCGCCAATAACGGGGCTAACCGGTATATTAAGCTTTTTCCCAAATCCAGTAGGAAGAAGGGCAATAATGTACATACGGATGAACCATGGGTGTCTCTGATTGGCTAATCCACCTGTCAATCACACCCATTTGAAAACATCTTTGTAAAGTATTGAAGAATTGAGTATTCTGGATCCAGGTATCTTTAAAAACACTGGACAACTGCAAATTAAAGTGGCAATGTATAACTTCAGGTGGAGGGTCTGTTACCTGCTTGTTTCGATAGATGTGTCATTGCTCTGTCTGAAATGTTCTACAGTTTGACATTAAACAGCTGTACCTTACATTTACTCAATTATAGTTGGTTGTATAGCTCAAAAATACCTACAAAAACAGACATTCTGACTGTGAGCGGGGTCTCCTATCCACAGATCTGACCTATAACTTAAACTGCTTTGGACTTCATGAATATAGAAAGGTTTAATACCATGCTGTGAAACATTCCAGACAAAGTGATAACATCTCTATGGGGAAAGACATCTGACAGACCCTCCAGCAGAAAAATTACGCAATACACCTTTAAGAAGTGTCCTTACAACTGTGGAAATTTCAGGTCTAAGCGTGACTGTCCGTGATGCCACCTGACTGTCCCATTGAAATGCAAATGTCCATTAACAAACAGTGCTCAAAGGGAGGTCCCGCCACAGCTGCATGTGAATCGGACGCGCACAGAGTCACAAACACGTCTTTTGTTTACAAAGCTCTGTTCGGTCTTTTATCAGGGACGAGGAGAGGAGGAGGAGACCAGAAGAGGGGAGGAGGGAGAGGAAGGGTGGGGCGTCCTGGGGCAAATGGAGGACACCAGCTGAACCCAGTGCACCCGCGCCTGTCGCTAATAAACCAGAGTTACATAAGGACAGGCTGTAGTATCAGAGTGGTAAACAGAAAGGGCACTGGGTCAGGTCTATGCACTGCTGAGTTAAATGGCAACCAACCTCTATTGACATTAGGTATTAGCATGTCCTTTTTAGACTTAAAGATGCATTGTGTACGTTTTCTGGAGAGGGTCTGCAAACCATTTGTCTCCATGGAAATGTTAATGTTTTTGTTTAAATTATCCACAGTATGGTATTAAACTAATCTGTCTTGCATTTACTCAGCTACAGGTGTTATTTATTGCTCAAAAATATCTTAAAACAACATCCATTCTTATTTCTTACCATGCCAGTAGAGATACTCAAAGAATTTTAAGTCACCAGTACCCCAATTTTCATTTTATTACGGTCCTAACTGACACACATGAGCAAGAAAGAAAAAAAAAATCATAGGCATGCTATTATTTTCTAAGATTAACAACTTTTACACATATTTCACAAATTAAAACTTTATTTACAATTTTTTAACTAAAAATTTCTTTTATGTTTATGGTTAAGTCTTCTAATCCTGCTGTTCTCAAACTTCACATTGCAACATTAGAATTTCTCACTTGTGGGAAGAATAAAGGTTCATTGTTATCTTTAAGATGATTCAGGTTTTACTTTAGCGTGAGAAAGGTGGATAGCATTTTTTTTTCTGCTAGAATATTTAAATTTAGAAGTTACAAAAATATTACTCATCTCCAACAATTCATTCTAAAATATGTGGGTGAGTTCAGACTATACCGAGTGGGCTACACTCATGAGAACTATGTAACTGCAGTTTTGACTTTTTATATACTAAATAATGAAACCATTACAGAACACTATAACTAACTATTAGGAATGTAGCAATAACCGAAATATCGTGATAGTGTATCGCTAAAAGTCTCTCAATAATATCGTAGACCATCACAATACATCAAATTCTTCTAATTGAAATCTGTTTGCTTAAATTCATTGTTATGGTGCAGCAATAGCTAAAAAAGAAAGAACTACATAGAACATGATCCTTTGCTCCGGTTCAGTCCAATCTACATGCTCAAATAACTTCATAAGCACTTTCGAATAACTCTTTGGTTTATGACAGACCCAAAAGAAAAAAGTAGCATATTCACAATGTCCTCTACAAAACATTGCAACAAATATTGTACCGTGAGATTCATATCACAAAAATACTGTACAGAGAAATTCGGATATAGTTACATCCCTACTAACTATAAAGAAGATAAAAGTCAATTACTAATGCTTTTAAAATTCCTTTCTGACCCATATATATATGTCAATATCATTTCTCTGCCTGGATTGTTCCACAGTATGACATTAAACAGGTTTACCTTACATTTATTTGTAAGGTGGCTTTATAGCTCAAAAATACCTGGAAAAACAGGCATTCTGACTGTGAGCAGGGTCGCTTCTCCACAGATCTGACCTGTAACTTGCCTGGTTTGGTCTCCATGCTTATAGAAAGTAATATAAATAATAACATCTTCATGGTGACAAGCTACTAACCCAGCATATTACTGGTGCCACACAAACACATGGACACACTCTGGACCTTGTGCTGTCACACGATGCTCCTATTGACAATGTTTGTGTGGGTGATGCTGTATTCTCAGACCATGCTCCTATAATGTTTGAGGTCACTGTAAATGAGTGCGAAAAGTGCACTATAGTGAGCTCTCAAGCCCAATGCGACTCTTTTCACTCCTCTTTTTGACACTATTGTGCAGTCAAACAGTGGGTTCAGTGGGTTTTTAGACATGGAATAGTTGACATCGCATTTTCTCTCCTCTTTTACCTTTGCGTGGGATGTCATTGCTCTGCCCTTAAATTAACTCTGCTTGTCTTAAATAAAAAAAAACAAGGACAGAGGCAGCACTGCTTTAACTTTAAATTATGTTATGCCACTTAGTGAAACACAAATTACAAACCCCAAAGTTTCCACCTCAGGTCAAAATCGAAGCCTCGGGTCAGTGATAGTACACACAAGGCAAAGGTAGAGCTCAACTGAATAAGCAGAACTGTCTGGAAGAGGTGAAGGACCATTTAACAAACAAATGATCCACACACAAAACAGCTACAGCAAAAATGGGAACGAAAGTCACAGTTCAGTTGAACCACCTGTGTTTGAGGAAACTGAAAACAAAACACAAGCACTGGAGGGATTATGGATGCTAAACTATCAAAACAGAAGCAGTTATTTTTTCCAATTGTGACAGTTCGAATTACATTTTACAGCTCTAATTTCCAGTATAGCACTAAACCTGACCTTAGATTAAATGTTGACACAGACTTCTATTAGGGGTCAAAGCAGAGGCCAAATGCACCCTCTCTCCAAACAGAACAATGTGCCTGAAATGTGACTGACTCATGATTGTGTCAGTGTGGATTCCTCCCCCACCAACTCGCCACTAACCATACCCACTTCCTCTGTTCTGTATTAAAGACAATATTTGCGCTTTTCAACTTGTATTGTTTATTTTTTCCATTTTGCTATCAATAAGAATGGTGCTATAAGAGACAAATAAAGGGTAGGTGTAATACACTTAAAATTCAGCCTACACCTTTTTTTATTACTGTTTCTGGAATTCCTGTGACTGAAATAAACAAATCAGTCGTTAAAATAATAGCATAATGGCTGCTTCTTTTAAAAGGCATATTGTGTAACTTTTCACCTGCTTGTTTCTATAGATATGTCATTGCTCTGCTTGGAATGTTGCACAAGCAGAGCAATAAATGCGAAGAGAGCAGTTAAGCAGTTCTCTTTGCATTTATTCAATTACAGCTCAAAAATACCAAGAAAAACAAGCATTCTGACTGTGCACGTGGCTGCCTCTCCACAGATCTGAGCTGTATCTTGGTCTAGCTTGGTCTCCACGAAGGGAGTTTAATACCATACTGTGAAACATTCCAGACAAAGCAATAATATTTCCTCATAGAAATTTGACAGACTCTCCACCAGAAAAGTTACACAAGTTGCACTTTTAAGTTTGATAAGACCAGTGTTTCTCAAACGGTGGTATGAGAGCTTTTTCAGGTGATACTTGGACGGCTCTTTATGTGTGTTTGCCTAACACAGAACTACTTTTTTTTTCTCCTTTTGAAATTTCTTTTCACTTGTTTAGAACTACAGTGAAAATGGTGTAGTTCACTTTTAGACCTGGATTTGCCAACGATTAGACCTGGTATAGTCCTGTTACAGAATGATGTTGAGCTAAATCAGAATGTAAGACTGTAAAGTAGTATACACCCATGGACCACTGAGGGATTACACATATATAAGGCCACATAGGAATATAAAAGAAAGTATTATACTAAATAGTACTAAATGTTGAAAATCACATTCATGTAATTCATGTTTAAATAATGAATGTTTTTATTATCATTGTGATATCAGAATCTGTACTGAGTATCGAGTCTATTCCTTAGTATCGAAATAAAATCTGAAATTGTGACAACAATATTCACCCCACCCCACACTGCACTGACTGTATACTAAATAAAAAAAATACTAACCTCACTGTATTTTAATTCATCCCCACTACTGCATTCAAAACCTTCACACACTCCTCCTGTTTCTCACCTGTTTTGCAAAGGATGCTTGATGTACTGCTCAGGGTTTGCAACGACTTGACTCTCAGTTGATTGTTCTTCGGTATCAGCTGCTTTCTGTAGACACACATATACATGGGAGTTTTACAAAAGGATTTCACAATCCACATTAGAATTAGTATCACCATTCAATATACATTCTGATGAAGCAATAGTTTACAAAGGATATTACTAGAGCTTACAGTTGTCAAAATTATTGAAAATCTGATACTAATCTATACAAAAACACTATCGAACTAGATATTCATTTGAGCAAGTATCGATACTAAAACGCCATATTAACAGGACAGAAATGGACCTTTCCTGAATAGTTTTAGAATGATCTTGAGCTGAAATAGTATAAGACCACATACTCCTGGACGACTGAGGGATTACACAGATATAAGACCACATGGTAATATAAAAGAGCACTATTAAATAATGTGGAAAATCACATATGATTATGTAAAGAAAGAGTGTTTTTTTTTTATCATGGTATCAGAATTGGTAGTATTGAGCCTATTCCTTAGTATCAAAATCTAGTTCGAATCTAGTACCATGACAGCTCTTCTTCTGACAAGTACCGTGATTGCATTTGTGGTATATGCTTAAAAAATAAGACTGCACATTGTAAACAACCACAGACACATTTTCATTTAAGAATGAAATATGAACTGATAAACTGATACCAGTATCCTTTAAAATTTCAGAAGATATATAGAGGTATTAACTACAGATAAGAGATTTTTCCATAAAAGGCTGAATATTTTGGTGTTTGCAGCTGACATTGTATTACCTCACAAATTAAAGATTTGCTTATTGAACTAAAATCGTCATTTGACTGCAATGGATATATATTGTGTTGTAGTGCTATAAACCTATGTGTATGTTAAGGTAGAAGATAGCAGTACAAGATAAAACGGATGTAGTATTTATCTCTGTGGCCATAAAGCTGTAGAAGTTCTAGAGGGGCTTGTAGTGGATGATGCTGTGTCAACAAAGGTGATAAGACTTCCAGTGAAATTACCCAATACTACATTGCAATAAAACGGTAAAAAAAAATACAACAGATGGGACTTTTGGTATTTTTCCTTGACCATTTTCCACATGTTTTCTTTCTTCAACGACTTATTGGCGAAAAAACATATGTTCACACAATAAGCTCTATATGATCTATAATATGCTTATAATGTATAGAAGAAAAGATCCCAAACGAAACGATTTTACAGTGACGACTACTACACGTTGGTTCATTGGGAACTGTGAGATCATGCGACAGATTTCGAATTTTCTTCTTCAAAAATAGTATGTCAACAATCATCAGAGCGTGTATTTGACGTTAATAATATTTTTTAACAAGTTATCATTCATTAGCCCCAGTTTTAGCGGATGGGGCTAAGCTAACGACTAACGAGAAACACGCGTGTCCAAATTGATTTACGCTAACTGCAAGCGTGGTAATACGCCTGGTCATTATAAAACGCGTTAAATGTAACTATAACACATGTTTAGGTGTTATTGATTGTGTGGAATAAAAGCACAGCCCGGGAGGAGTTTGAATGAACGCCGCTCCCTTCTCTACAAAGTCAGCCTCATCATCACATTGCTTCAAGCTAAGGCTAACCCAGACCCACGCCGATGCTACAACTGCGACACGAAATGCGGAGTTTTTCACTGAAATCTACAGCATCGCTCGGGGATTATGAACGGTTATAATGTTTCCTGACATACGGTTGATGCATGCTGGTTAAAAATACTGTTTATGTGTTCAATTCTAGTCATCTATCGCTGCTCTTACCGGCTCCGATGTCGCCATCTTGACAGTAGAAATGTTCTGCCCGATCTGCGCCTCTGCGTCACTCTCCGCACGCTCACTCACCTACGGAAGCCGACGCAGCACTTTTCAACAAGAATTCAATAGCCCATTCATGAATTTTCACATACATACATTAGCCCACATATTTAACACCAGAGACTGACAAGTGGTTTAACGTTAATCTTATTTGCTTAAAGGTCCTATATGACACAAAATGAACTCTTGTGATATAAGGTTGTTTCCTCATCAAAAACATACCTGGAGTTGTGTATTGTCTCAGTAACACATGTGACTGAAATGTGACTAACCCTTTATTATTTGTCTGTCTCCAAAGCTCAAAATGCGTGCCATGAAGCAGTAGTTTTCAACTTAACAGCTACCTTTTCTCTTTAGTACAGTAGAGATAAGCAATTCTAGGTCTGAAATTATCCAAATGATTATGGTGAAGGTGTATGGAGTATAAAAACACATGACATCACAAGGTGGAACAATGTTTTCTGTTTGAGAGAAAAACTTAGCCTAAATATGCATGGGTCTGTGTGTTTAACATATGTGAATAGAAAACACAACTCGAGGTTTGTGATGAGGAAACAACATTATAACAGAGATCAGAAAATAATTTAATAGTATCTAATTTCATTATAGGTCACAGTTGTAACCAAGAAATGAAACTACATTAAATAACACAATAAATTACCTTTTTTAAATGTCACATTTTAAACATATTTCTCTACAATTAGTTTTACTTTGCCATAATTATACATGATATGCGGCTACCTTTTTTGGCATTAGGTCAGTTTTGTGACCAGCATTGTAGTCATAGGGCAGTTTTTTTCATTTTACATCAGATGCCCTTCTTCCTTAACACAGACAGCCAAATTACTGTGACTGACTGGAGCAGGAAAGTATCTTGCCCACAAGACCAATGTATACTCATTACGCAAGATATGAAATGGCTACCATCTAGCCAGAAGGCAAATGCTTAGTGAATGTACCTCTACAAAAACATATTGAACTTGTAATCTTTAATATTTACATTTAGCTGGCTTTATTACAAGTTGCATAGAAAATAGAAAAAATTGCAATGTGTCATAGCAACTGTTAAGAAAGAAAGAAGTCCTTATATTCAGGAACTGTACATAAATATCGCATGACTCATATCCACACTGCACTACAGCATTACACTCTGACTCATAATGTGGGAGATTAAGAAACTATAATTGTTATTTATAGTCAATACACGCACAATAAAAAAGAACACAAGCAGAGAACAGGCTCAGGTCCAAAATATAAATACGATTTTATTTTTACAATCCCGAAAGAGACAGCCATCCATAGAAGGAATGCTAAGATGTATCTGTCATGTCTAAGCAGGATATGATAACGCAAAGTACAGTAATTCAAAATAAGCAAAATCATCATTGTCTAAAAACACCATTAACAATACAGTAAAAACAGCCTGCTTCACATACACATACATATATTTACATTACAATTTGACAGGTTTTTAATGCTGGTGCAGTTTTGTTATTGTAATGTTTTCAAATTAACTTGAAATGGGTTACATTCATTGCATTTTGCGATGTGAAAACTTGTGGAAGACTTGTTGGATTTTTCTAAATAAATAATGTTACTCTGGCACTCATTTTGTTTGTAGAAATGTAAAGAAGTAGTAATAAAATAATTTGAGATTTTAAAATAGCAGGCGTGTGATTTCAGGATTCAATATAGCACCACTGATGACATTAACTGGTCATTAACAAAGAGGTTTTGTCAGTGCATGGACTTTTAGCACCAAATAGGAGTGAAAAGAAAATCGACCAGCATGGTTTTCAAATGTGATCAGTTAAAAGGTAAGAGTTGTGCTGCCTGTTTGAGATGCAAAATGAGCAGAAAGTGGTTAACAGTTTGAAAGAGTAAAATTTATTTAACTGAAAAATGTGATCTCATTTTGGCCATTACAGGTTACGTTCATGAGCTTGAGCATAAGCTTTTTTGGAAAAATCTCCGAACGCGAAATTCAGAATAAATTTTTTGTTGTTGAAACTATTTAGCTTCTTGTTTATAAGTGCCATTTTGAGGATTTTTCACCATTAAAAAGAGATTCAAAGAGGAATTGTTAATTGCTATGGCAACAGTGCTTATTTTTCATCAAACTCTAAAAACATAGAAAGCCATGTTTTGACAATAGCATATAAAAAGTGCCAGTTTTTTCTTTCATGTGGATAAGCCCACTAATTTCATATGTAGGGCAGGAAGAGATCGCTAAATTGCTCAAACATGCATGGATCTAACGTGCATCTAAAATCAAACATGCAACATAAAAATCACTTCAGGCATGTTTTTGATGAGGAAACAACATTATAACATGCTTATACTAGTACCCCTTTTTAAATAAAGGTTTTTTTAATGTTATAATGCCACATGAACGCAAGGTGTGAATGGACCCTGTAAGAGCTTTGGTTAAAATCATAACACACAATTTCATAAAACTTCACATTTCAAACCCCAGACCACTTTTTGCATTAAAATTGACAAATAAAAACCAAAACAGATTTACAATGCCAGATAGATCCTATATTGACATCACCCCTTTTTACTCATAAGGGTTTAAGCACCTGAAATTGATAACGCATTTCCTAAAAATTACACACATAATTATTCTCAGTGACATTTCAAAATCCAAACAAATTGCTATTGTATTATAAAAACATCTTAGTGAAAAATTGCCATGATTTGTGTAAAAATAGAGGTCTCTGTAGCACCGTTTGAAATACAGTGAGTGAACAGTTGTTTCATCATTGTGCCCTATAAACACATTTGTATAAAAATGATATTACGCACTTGGTTGCAGCATTCCATAATTTCATGATGTGACAACAAGAGATATTTAAAGGTCCTATATTACGCAAAACTGTGTGAGCATGTAGTCATGTTATAATGTCGTTACCTCATCAAATCATACCTGGAGTTGTGTTTTGTTTCATTCACACATGTTTGAGTGATCCCATATTATTATTCTATCTACATCTCCAAAACTTGAAATGCTTTTTTCCACTCTGTGATGTCACAAAGTGGTAGTTTTCAAGTTAACAGCTACCTTTTACTGTAAATTGGGTAGAGATTGGTAATTTCAGGTCTGAAATTATCCAAATTATCCACACTTTATGTATTATTACATGACATCACATGGTGGAACAGAGTGTTGTCAGCCTAAATATGCAGGATTTGTGTGTTAAAATGTGTGAATGAAACAAAACATAACTCCAAGTATGTTTTTGACGAGGAAACAACATTATAACAGATCAGAAAACAGCATAATATGGGCTCTTTAACTTAAAAACACTGTAAAATGGTTCATGCTATAGACTGCCCTATACTCTTCTCTGTACATACATATAGGCCTATTCAAGTGATAAAAGAAAAAGTGCTTCTCAAGATGCCGCATAGAAGACAACCAAATAAAAAGTACATTTCATTCATAAACTGCAGAGAGAAGCAGCTATATGAAAACAGATAATGCTACATGTGACGTGGTAGTAAGTAAATGGCACTCTTGCTTAGAATAGGCTCAGCTAAAACAGAGCTAAAATACATCTAGTTAGTCCAGTATTTTTGTAACATGTGGTCTGAGAGATATGCACGTTTTGAAAATACTTTGGAGAAGCAGACAGAGCAATAAATACTTTAGCTTAAGTGGGTAATAGGGCAAGTGACTACATATACAACCAGCATTCTTCAAATATCTTACAAATACCTTTCAAGCTCTAATATTTCTCAAAATGGACTCTTGTGAGCTTTTAGCCATGTTATGTTTTTTTTTTTTTTACCTCAAAAACATGCCTGGTGTTTTGTTTTCCTTCATTCACATTAGAGTAATTTATTGTCTATCCGTCTGTCTATATCTCCAAAAGCTCTAAATGCTCTGTGTTAAATGTGTGAATGAAACAAAACACAACTCCAGGTATGTTTTTGACGAGGAAACAACATTATAACATAGATCAGACAGGAGCAGTGACATTAGTGTGTACAAATAGGCCAAAAAAGTACTTACTACTTACTGAAAACAGATTCCAGTACTTTCTGAAAAGCTTCAAATAGTTCTCAGGAGGTAGGTAGGAGCTATATAACTGCTCTCTGACCAATGTAAACAGGAAGACAGCTAGCTCTTGCTTTGCCAGAAATGTTCCACAGTAGGGCATTAAACTTATCTATCTCCAAGGAGACAACCAGGTGACGCGTATTTGGGAAGTATGAATTTAAACACACAGACTTGTAGCCAATCATATGTACTACAGTTAAAGTTGCACTGTGTAGCTTTTCTAGTCAGCATCTGCTACCTGTTTGTCTCCGTGGCGATGTTACTGGTTTGCTTGGAATGTTCCATAGTATAGCATTAAATATATCTACCTTGCACTTATTTAACTGCTCAAAAATACCTTGAAAAATATGTATTCTTACTATGAGCACACTCAACTCTCCACAGAGCTGATCTGTAACTTGAACATGTGCTTGTCTCCATGGAGATAGATAAGTTTAATGCCATATTGTGGAGCATTACTAGTAAATTAAAATAAATTATATATGGAGAAAAACAGGTTGCAGACCAGAAAATTTACATAAGGCATCCTTACAAAGCCACTATAGCTGTTGGCAAATTTGTGTCATTTGTGAAGTGTCTTGCTCAATGACAATACAAAAGTCTATGTAAGGAGTTGAACCATTAACCAATCAAGCTGCCATTATTGCCCCTGTCTGCATCTCAAAACTATTCGTCATCCAAATGCAGCAGCTCGACCCATGTTACCAAAATACTGTCCGACCCCATTACAAAGACATGTTGCAGTAAACAGGCTCTTACCAGAAATTAAATAAAAATGACTATGTTCAGAATAAATAATCACATCTTCTTTGTGTAAAACTAGTTCCAATGCCTCTAGCGCCCTCTCTCTACACTAAAGTCCATAACGTTCAAAGTTTGGTCTTCTCCATCATAGAGAAGCTCAGAACGAAACTAGAAGAGCGCGTTTCATAGAGCTGTGAGTGAGGTAAGGCAGAAGTCAGGGCTGGTCTTGAGGAAAACTGTTGAGAATTTTTAAATATTTGTAGATTTTATTAGATTTCTAGAATTCTGGCAGATTTTGAAAAGCTGAAGGTCCAAAATCCCTAGAAATGGCTTCTTGTGAGCTTTTAGCCATAGAATGTCATTATACTGCCTCATGAAAAATATACCCGGAGTTGTGTTTTGTTTCATTCACACATGTTTAAGTAATCCTTTATAGTCTGGCTACATCTCCAAAGCTCAAAATGCTCTGTTCCACCTTGTGATGTCATGAAGCAGTAGTTTTCAAGTTAACATCTACTTTTTACTGTGTGTTTAGTAGAGCCTAACCCTTGGCAATTCCAGAGCTGAAATTATCCAAATGATTGTTGTGAAGGTGTACAAACAAATTTACAAACGCAGTGGAGCACTTCTTCCTGTATTACCTCATGACATCACAAGGTGGAAGGAGTGTTTTCAGTTTGAGAGAAGAACACTACAGAGTAAATACGCAGGATTTTTTTGGGTTAAACATGTGTGAATGAGTCAAAGTAAAACTCCAGGTATGTTTTTGATGCGCGTTCATGACTGAGAATTCCACCATAGGAGTACATGTGGAACACCCCCAGCATGAAGTGTCAATAGGTAATGAACCTGATGTGTCAATATGCAAAATTTCAATACTTTGAACCAGGCCAGTTGACAAAAATCTGGGGGCCCGGGGCAAGAACCTGCTTTCTAATATAAATTAATAGAAAGAGGGTCCAGTTTGGGGCCCCTAAAACCCCGCACAACAGACCCCTTTGCCCACCCCCTGTGTACTGCCCGGCTTTGTAGAGTTTTCCTCAATAACAGCCCTGTAGTCAGGACACCGTGTATCGTACAAAACCCCTAAGTCCATCTATTGTAAGGCCCTGTGACGTGTGTGAGTGCGTACGGAGAAACTGTCACCACCCCATCCCTCGGCAGCGTCCAAGTTTGCCTCGTGGGGACTGTCCAAGCCTTCTCCGTCTCCTCCTCGCCCTCCTCCCCCTCTCCCATCTTCCTCTTCCTCCCGTTGGCGTTCCCTGGGCTCCCCTCCATCCTCAACCTCTCCTCCTCTTCCTGCCTGTCGCGATCTCGCTTCGCCATCTTAGCGTCCCACATTGCCATGCCGTGCCCTGGTTCGTTTAGCGATTTGTGCTGGTAGAAAACGAGCGAAATCCGCGTCGGGTGTCTTCGGTTTGGTTTGAGGATTGGCGTGGTGGCGTGCAGCTCCCTTCTCGCGCATTCGATCAAGATGGAACCGTGGGAGGGCGCTACAGCCACGCCCCCGATCTCCCGGTCCAAGAAGTTGTGCTCGCTGTCCGACCACACTTCTTCATTCTTGGGGTCTTCGTGAGGGGGCGTGGCTAAGATGGCGTGGTGGACTCCGTTGAGCCTGCTAAAGAGGCCTTCAGAGGTAGGCTGCGGCGAAAAGGAGGAAGCGGGCAGGGCGTAATCTCTGGGGGAGGAGCAATGCACCTCTCTAGGCTCAGTTTTGAACGTGAAGTTGATGAGGAGGTATTCTGTGTAAGGGGGAGCCGGGAGGGTAGCCGTTGGGGGTCCGGTAGAGTTGGGGGTCCGGGGTGTAGACCTTTCTCTGGGGGCTGGAGTTGGGGTAGGTGGTGCTGGTGCTTTGGATGTAAGTGCTGGGGACATAGGGCCTCTCAGGGGGGTACTGGTCCACGCTGGCAGGGCGAGGGGGCACTTTGTAAGAGCTGTAGTAAGGGTCTGCAACTGAAAAGAAAACAATAGTGTAAATGTCATAGAAATGTTTATGTTTGTAGTTAATGAGAAGAACATGATGCTGTTGAATTTTTTGCATATCACTAATTAAGGAAAATGTGGCAATATGGTGTCTTGAAACAACTTTGGGAGTGTAAATGGTGATGGGAAACCACTATAATATGGTAAAAAAGTCAATTTTGCAGGATAGGTCTGCTTTAATTTTAAATGCATGGTGTCATAGTGAGCATTTCTATTGGTGTTTCTGTGAAATAAATCAATGGTTCCACAACCTTTTTTGCACCACGAACCGGCTTTATGTCCGACAATACAGACTGGGGGTGAAGGGCGGGGCACTTTTTTAGGGACAATATTTTCACGGGAGAAGACGCGGTCCTCCCAGCATGATTTAGTTCTGGTTAAATCATGTTTTAGTCCTGGTTTTAGACCTGGTTTGGAACTGGTTTAGATCTTGTTTAGACCTGGTTTAGACCTGGTTTAGACCTGATTTTAGTCCTGGTTTAGTCCTGGTTTTAGTTCTGGTTTAGAGGTGTGGGAAACACGGGAAGAGGCGCAGTCCACGCAGCATACGCTCTTATCCCTGTCCCTGCAACAGACTGTATAAAGACATGGACTAATAGAGTGTGACGACAAACAGTGTTCGGCTCCAGTCCAATGAAGCTTGCCGAGGCTAGCGATTATAGTGGTGAATTTGGAGCCAAGTTCCAGATTATGAATATGAATTTATTAATGGATAAAGTAGTGAAATAAAAACACCAGGATCATGTAGAACTAAGAGTTAATATGAACATTTTAAGACCAAAATGACTCTTTGATACCAGTCTCCTGCTATGTTGCTACTTATTTTGAATTTCTTCTTACAATTAAAATAATATATTGTACTGTGTGACCTACTCTGTCCAAGTAAATGTTTGTCTAAGTCTATATTCAGTCTCTGGTCCCTGCACACCACACACATGTGTTACCTTTGCTGTTGGGCTCTGGTTTCACTTTGGGAGTGAGAGGACTCAGGCCCAGTTTCTTCTCCAGACGCTCAGCCTGGGCCCTGAGTCGAGCCTCCTGTCTTATCTTACGCGCAGACTTTACTGGCTCCGCCAACATGCGCACCTGAGACACAAGCAGGATTTACACAAGGTCCAACAATGTCACACAGAGGTCACTTTGAGAGACAGAGTTAAAGACAGGTTCTGATGATTCACAAAATTTGACTTAATTTAGAAGCATAAAACCTGTTGTAAATATAAATTATAGTTTTAGACAAATCAAGAAGCAAGTTGTGAAGAAAAATACGTTGAAAATTACAGGAAGTAGAGCATTCTATTTAAGAAAGTTCCATACAGATGACATTATAATAGGGAGAATTCTGTCAAAAATTTTAAAAGTTTGGCACAATTTACACATAAGAAACAACAATTTCCAATATTTTAAACAGTGTTTTAATAAAATTTCCTAAATGGTTATTCGTTAGATATAAATTTCTGTAGACAATAGCGATTCCAATCCAGTACTTTCTCACACCTAACTAAACCTGCTGTAATTATCATTACCATTACTTAGTGCTCTGGGGCCTCTAGTGGCCACAGTTGGCATTACACCAGGCAGTGTGTCGTGAGGAGAGTGACACACATTCATTCACAAGAAAAAAAAAATCCTCACACACTTTACAGGGTTACTGTGGGATACGTTTGTATTTATGTAATGTATAGTTTTATGCAGAGTTTTTGTTATAGGTGTACAATAATTAAACAAAAAGGTTCAAGTGCTAGCACCAGTTAAAGCGATATTGGGCGGATTGACAAACTGATCCGTAAAGCTGGTCACATGATCGGCTGTCAGCTGGAGACATTTGTCACATTGAGGGACACGAGGACACTGAAAAAACTGTATGATTTGTAGATTTAATTTGATCTCTAGAATTCGGACATATTTTGAAAACTTAAAGGTCCTATATTCCTCGAAATGGCTTCTTATGAGCTTTTAACCATGTTATGTTGTTATGTTGCCTCGCTGTGTTTTGTTTCATTCACATGTTTGAGTAATCCTTTATTATAAGGCGGGACGGGTCACCCGGGTCACCCGGGCCTTTCTGTGTGGAGTTTGCATGTTTCTCCCTGTATGTGGATGGGTTTCCTCCGGGTACTCCGATTTCCCCCATCAAAACATGCTACATAGGTCTCGAGAACAGTTGATAGTCAAAGTCAGTTAAATACAATCAATTCAATCATTGTGTCCTTAGGCAAGACACTTCACCCACATTGCCTAGTATGGAAGTGGTGTGTGCGTGAGTTATGGTGGTGGTCAATTGATATGGCAGCTGTGCTTCTGTCAGTGTGCCCTAGGGCAGCTGTGGCTACAATAGTAGCTTATCATCACCAGGTATAGAGCGAATGAATAATGCTGAATAATGCTCAAAAGACAGACAAAAAATGTCTGTGAAATGTGCTATATAAATAAATAAATAAGTCTGGCTACATCTCCAAAGCTCAAAATGCTGTGTTCCACCTTGTGATGTCATGAAGCAGTAGTTTTTAGGTTAACATCTACTTGTTACCATGTGTTTAGTAGAGATAGCCAATTCCAGAGCTGAAATTATCCAAATGATTGTAGTGAAGGTGTACAAAGAAATTTAGAAACACAGTGGAGCACTTCTTCCTGTATTACCTCATAACATCACAAGGTGGAAAGAGTGTTTTCAGTTTGAGAGAAGAACACTACAGAGTAAATACGCAGGACTTTTTGGGTTAAACATGTGTGAATGAAATATAACAAAAATCCAGGTATGTTTTTGATGCGCATTCATAACTGAGCATTCCACCATAGAAGTACATGCGGAACACCCCCAGCATGAAGTATCAATACGTAATGTAGTTGATGTGTCAATATGCAAAATTTTAATACTTTGAATCAGGCCCGTCAACAGAAATTTGGGGGAAAGAACTTACTTTCTAATATTTGTATTTTCATTTGTATTTATGTTTATGTATGGTTTTATGCAGAGGTGTACAGTAATTAAACAAAAAGGCTCAAGTGCTAGCAACAGTTAAAGGGACATTGGGCGGATTGACAAATTGATCCGTAAAGCTGGTCACGTGATCGGCTGAAAGCTGGAGACATTTGTCACTATGAGGGACAGGAGGACACTGGACAAACTGCTCTCCATCATGGACACCCCTGCTCACCCACTGCACCAGACTATAGAGGGACAGAGGAGCTCATTCTCCAACAGGCTCCTACAGCTCCACTCAGACAGTGAGAGATACAGGGCTACATTCATACCATACTCCATACAGATGTACAACAACTCACCTTTATGTAACAGATAAGCCTTTGTCCTGTCAATCATCATATCATCTTTGCACTATTTTCCCTACGCCCTCTAGTACTGTATATAACTGTAATATACTGCATTTATATTACGATATTTGTGTTTTACTTTCTGTACATACAGTTATATAATTTATGTCTTATTGATACCAGTCTCTTGCGATTTTTACTGCTACTTATTTAGAAATTTATTACAATTTACATATGTTTTTGCTCTTTGTTATTGTAATATGATGTTATGCTGAAGTAATTTCCCTTGTGGATCAATAAAGTCTGTCTAAGTCTAAGTCTAAGTGGCATAAAATTGTACATGGTCACATTTTTATGTAGCATTTCAATCTTCAAAGCACTCACAGCACTTTACATCAAAAACCACTCACCCATTCACACACACATTCATACACCAGTGTACACAGCGAGGTGGGTTAAGTGTCTTGCCCATAGACTCATTCATTTGTGGGAGCTTGAATAGTGTGGGTCAATGGATCACCACTCAACCAATGATGTTTATGTCATAAGTGGGATTTGAACCTTTAACCTTCAGAGCAGTGGACAAATACTCTACCAACTGAGCTACTGTCACCTACAAACTATAAAAATAAAACATAATATCAAGACCAAACCAATGAATAAAGTGATAATAGTACACGGTGTACAATAATACACAAAGGGGTGTGTCACTTCTCCGAGTTACCCCTCTGGCCACTCACCTCTCTGGGAAAGGAGGACAGCACCTGCAGGGCTCCACTCTGGATCTTGGCCCACTGACCCTGGGCTTGTCCAAACTCGTCTCTGTCTGAGATCTTGTACAGAGGCAGGACGTGGAGCTGCTCGTCCTCTGGGATGTTCCTCACAGCTCGGTTATCCTCTCGGGTTAAAGTGCAAACCTGCAAGAACGCACAAGACCACAGCATACTGAGAAAGATTTATTCATTTCATATATCTTCGTTTATACAGGGAGATAAACACATAACTGCATATGTCCATTTAAAACATTAAAAACAGACGCAGGTGTGATTATGATGGTTTATCACCAGAATATTAAAATGTAGAAGCAACACCAGTTTATCCAGGTTTCACCACAAATCACCACATTCGAAGCCTTAAAAGATGTCAAAATCAGCATGAAACACTTTTACTTTTTACATTTTCAAACAGATACTTTGATACTTTTACTTAAGGAGATCTTTCATGTCATACTTTATTTTTTTTGCTCTGGTATCTGTACTTTAACTTAAGTAACATAATTGAGTACTTCTTCCGCCAGTGCCTGTCCTTGAAATGTATTCCATCTGTGGGAAGCAAAATAACCGAAAGCTTTTTTCCCATTTCAGTTCTAATGCAGCCAGTTTTTAGACAATCATGAGACTGTTCCCATATTAAAAGTTCCCATATTAAAGTTCAGCAAACAAGTGAGATATTCAGGCAGTACCAAGCAGTCCCTCATAAATACATTTTATACAGTTATTCTCTTCTGACAGATAATGATGGCCAACCTACTTTTTCATACTGTACAGCAGGAGTCTCCAACCGTTTTCCTTCTGTGAGCTACTTTTTGTAACGAAAATGCCAGAGAGCTACTAATGTTAAATAGTAAATAAGTAAATATGAGGGGTACAGTTAGATACCTATAACATAAACCATTATTCATTTATCAATGCGCAAATAAAGGCATTGACATTATATATTTACAACGGTAATAGGCATTTAACCAATAAAATTTGAGTTATTGAACGTAATACCTATAAATCAGAAATCCCTTGGAGAGCTACTTAGAAGAGGGTGTAGAGATACTGATAGCTCCCAGGCTACAAGCTGGAGACCCCTGGTGTGCAGTGATGGGTTTTTAATTCATTGGGCATTTGAAACAACAGTTTACAGTGTAGCAGGGCTGTAGTCAATGAAAGAAATTCTTGATTAACTAAAGACATGTCCTGCCGAGCGTTTAGTTGACTAAAAAGGGGGTGAGGCAAAAGATCTCAAAACTATTGCATATCTCTGTGTATCTGACCGAAACTGCACTCACAAGACTACTCCTGCAGGGGGAGTTCAAGCAAAAAGAACTATTTATGCAGAAAAAAGCACTAGAAAACAGTGTATTTATAAAAAGACATATAATTAAAACCAATATATCACATCTTAAGAGAGCAGGAGCTATTCCTCCGTATCTCTGTAACAGTGAGAGTGACTGACCACAGTGCTGCCGTTGTTCATGTTGTGTGTGTCTTTGTGAGCGTGTGCACAGAAGTCCACACAGGCCGTGACCCCAGAGAAGGGCCGGCCCTCCCTCCAGCCCAGACGGCAGTCCTGCCCCGAAGACTCGTTCTCAATCTGTATGGGACAAACACAAACTCTGAGCGGAGATACACAGGGTCTGCATAGCATGACATATACAGAACATGAGGCTCAATTAAATGTCTACATTATAAACTCCATTCTGTGAGCAGTGTAGCACACAGTGCAGCTCACCTGGTTGTGGTAGGCCTCAGGAGCCAGTCTCTTGTACAGAGGAGCCAGCTCTGTGGCCAGGCCCTGCAGATTATTCTCCACTCGCTCCTCCTTCAAAGAAACAGAAACAACTTTAATATACCAGAAGAATTGTAGCTCTCTGTAATTTGGCAAAAACAAATGTAATCAAACTAAGTTTTAATTTTATTTATTATTTATTTATTTATTTGAGACAGGGACAGCGCACAATTTTCGCATGAACCTTGACAGGAGAGATGCACTGTACATCAGGTTGTAGCATCAGTGCTAATTTCCACCTGTAGTCCCTGGACAGGTTCATTGATTGATTGTATTTAACTGACCTTGACTATCAACTGTTCATGGAGACCTGTAGCATGTTTTGGGTTGATGGGGGAAACCGGAGCACCCGGAGGAAACCCATCCAGACACGGAGAGAAACATGCAAACTCCGCACAGAAAGGCCCTGGGCGACCTGTTGATCAAACCCAGAACCTTCTTGCTGTGAGGCATGAGTGCTAGCCACTCAGCCACCGTGCCGTAATGGTATCATCAGTGATCATGTTGTGTGCATTCACCTCCTCGGGGGAGTCTCCCTGGAGTCTGAACTTGCGTGGTACTTTACTACGGGCAAATTTGCAGCCGTTGAAGTACATGCTCCAGGAGCAGCCGAAAGAGAAGGAGGCCCCACATGTGTCTGGGTCCAGCCCCTGACACGCACATGTACGACTGAGAGAGAGAGACACATACATACAGAGCAGTGAGATACAGTAGTAGTAGAGTATGGAACACGCTACTGTCACATACATTAACACTTAACTATAACACTTATGGGATAATGAGGCGTAAATGAGTGTATACAAGAGTTAAACCTAATCCGAGTTGAGCCTAGTTCAAGAGCAGTGTGTGACTCACTCTTCATTCAGAGCACAGCGGCGGCTGGTGGCAGAGCCGTATTTAAAGAGAGTATCTGTCAGGTCTCTGTACAGGTGGTCTGCCACAGGCCGAGGGACCCCCTCCCAGGCAAGTATGAGGATCACCAGCACTGCACTGTCACAGTAGTGCCCTGGACGCTGACGCACCAGACACAGCAGCTTCTCCTCCTCACTGCCCCGACGGATCACCTGCACACACAACGTACACACACAACACACAGGTTTGTACTATTCTGCATTTCAAATGTCAGTTTGTTCTTTAAATCAATAGTGAAAGCTCTTTTTATTTCATTTTTGAAAAGAGAAAATAGAGATTGATTCGTCCTACTGCCCAGCACTAATTGAGCGTCTTTCAAACAAAGTATAAAGTGTCTAGAAATGAAACTACTTGCTTTCATAGGAAAGAGAAATAATTAATGTGTACAATCAAATCATTTTTGTCCACTTCACTTTAGAAGTATGTCAGATGCTGTTTGATCAGTATATGATGTGGACAGTCTGCAGAGTTCAGTGCTCTGCAGTCACATGGTCACATACCCATTTGGCGATGGGACAGCCCTGGGAGCTGCGTCCTTCTTTCCCCGTGTAAACCACAACCTCCACTCTCACTGCGCTCCCTTTGGCCCCGTATCTGCAACACGCAACATCAATGTTTAAACAGAAAAATACCCACTGATAAAGTATTCAAGTAAGAAGAATTGAACTGCTACTAGGCAGCAAGAGGCAAAAGGGAAGTGAACTGGTGAATTACCTGACATTTTCAACATTTGTATTATGTACTTTTGTGATATACAGTTATACATAGTGTATCATTGTATTGTAATTGCAAAAATGCCAGAAAAACGTATTTAGCCATATTTTTGCCTAAGTGAAGACTACGGTTCAGTTTGAACACTCAAGGTTGTGATGGCATGTAGTAATACAAGAAGTACTCCACTGTGTTTTTAAACCCCATGCACCTTCACTAGAATCACACAACTCCAGGTACGTTTTTAATGGAGGTAACAACATTCTAACATGGCTAAAAGTTCATAAGAGTCAGTTTTGAGTAATATAGGACCTTTTGTGTAATATAGGACCTTTTCAGTAATATAGGACCTTTAAGATGGACCGTGTGCCTCAGGTTTAAATCATGCTGTCATCTGGTTTGACTGGCCCCTGGTCTAAACTGCAGAGGCTTCCTGTTTCGACATGCTGCGGAGCGTGAGACGTGCATGTGTGTAAGAGCGTGCACGTGACAGGAGCCAGCTCAGCACTGTTTCCTCCTAATGAGTCCAGAAGTGCATTCCACGGGCTCTGACAGACAGACCTCATGCTTCTCAGTCTGCACCGGACAATATTCTACGCCAATGTTTACACTGTTAAAGTCACCACACCTGTTCTCCATCAGCTCCCGCACGGCCGCTACGCTAGGCCCCGCCCCCAGGTGTGTGTAGTACGGGCCTTCCTCTTTCTCGCTGATTTGATCTGGAACAACAGAAAATGAAATGTTATTGTAAAGCTGCATGCTAGTAAATTGAATAATTGGAGGAAAGCAATTTCTGTGTATTTCTGTAGTGAAATGTTCATCAGTTACCATGGTGAAACAATGCAAACATTTAGATTGTCTGAAAACACAAGAAAAAATACAAAATGGATTTAAACAGCACATTTTCAGGAGCCTATGTTCAATATGAGTGTTCATGGTTCTATTTAAGTGTTTGATTTTCAACAAAAAGGTGAGAGCGACTAACTGAAAAACTTGTGAGTAATTTTATGTGTGAGAGACTTCTTTCCAGTCAGATTGTGTTAAAATAAAAGATCAGACTAAAATGATTAAGATTAAAACTCGAGTAACAAAGCCTCAGAAAGAGCAGAGTCTACACAAGGAATGTTGATGGCATCAGCTGCAAACTATCAATAGTTTCACTGGTTGAATATCTCTTTGAAATAATAGATTTTTGCATTTAGGTGAATTAAAATGACATTAAACATTTCAAGATTTGAATTCTATGCACAAACGCAGAGAGTGATCACATATTCTTTTTGCAGTCAGGAAGGAATGTCACTCAAGTTGTCAAAAAAGAGTAATAAAATCATACAACATATACAGCAAAACATTAGCACTGAGGACTAAACTACATTATTAAGTGACACATTTGTTGATTTTAAGATTATCCTATTTGAAATTAGTACTAACATAATATCTATACTTTATACTGCTCTGCATAATCAAACTATAATAATGAAAAATGATCTCGATAGAAATCAACCTTTTTTTTACTACTAATCCATAATGGAGCAGTGTAATCTCATTTTGTGCAAAGCTTTATGAAGAAATTTGTCAGGGCAGACCAAATATTGGCCTAGGCAGGAGATTTAATGATACGCAAATCTCTATTTCTATCTAAAACACATGGGAAAAGACAGCAGCATTATTAAATCATAACAGCATAATAAACTAATTCTGGTTTTTATTGTTTTGTTTTTTTTAAATACAATAAATATTCTGATATTTTGAAGCCTTCAGTCATCATATCATGACATTTATTTGTTTAAACATGAACTGAAAAAATCTAACAGTTCTCACCAATCACTGTTTTGACTAGTTGACTAATCAAAACATAATCTTGGCTAGACGACTGCTAAAGTAATCGCTCTACGCGGTTTATACTGCTTAGATAACACATGACTCACCGACACAGTGGCATGAAGGAAGGTCACTAAGTTTCTTCGATGGCGTGGTGAGCAGGTTCCTGGTGGGCGTGTCCAGAAAGCTGCCGGGAGACTCCAGGAAGCTGTTGACGCTGTGTTTGGATGGAGTTGACTCTGCAGAATGGCCCATGTCCCCTCCTAGATCTGCGCTAGTGGACAAAACTGTAACAGGGCCTGAGTGCTCAAGCTTATAATAATTCTGTTGACTGGGAGGAGGTGAGTTTCTGGAGTCTGAAAATCCATTGACTAAACTATGATGGGGTAAGGAGTTTGGATGAGTGTAGATGTCCCGATCTAGTCCCATGTGTCCAGACAAACACCCATTATAATGACTATGGTTGAGCTGTCCATTAGCTAGGCACTGCGGTTGGTTTTGTCTCATTTGACTAGAACATTCTGAATTCCCAAACTGTGCTGTTCCATTTTGTATAAACTGCCCTTTTTGTTCTTGTGCTTCTTCCAAATATTTCTTGACATCGATTTGAGCTTGTGGTAGAAACAGCTTCCTTTTATGGTTCAGCCCCTGTAGCTGTATTTTCGGACCTCTCTTCTTGTTCGGCGTCTCCCCGTTTCTCTTCGACAATGGCGTTCTCCGATTGGCTCCTTCCTCTTTCGTTTTCTTTTTTCTCTGCCTGGTAGGTGTGATTTTGGCCTTTTTCTGGTTAGCGTTTAATGCCGAGGCGTTGAAGTTGTATTTTATAGCAGACACAGGCGTCCCCCTCGGCGGATTGTTCTCAGACTGCTGGTTGTGTCTAGCTTGGATAATGAACGCTAAGTCCGCAAGCTGCGCCGCTACCTCCTCCTCATCTCGGTTGCGTCTTGGTTTCGCTACAATTCCATCCTCACCCACTTCCTTTTTAATGGTAAACTCTGACTTTATGACCTGAAATGGTTCTATTTTCTTACATTGAATAACATTGCCTTGCCTTGCTATTGGTGGTCGTATTACTGATGTTTTGAGTGAGCTTATAACAGAGACTTTGTTAAATGCTGGTTTAGCTTCGGTTAGTTTTGAAACTGGATGTTCATAGTTACTTTCAGTTTTAATGGCTGCGGTGGTGTTTTGAGGTAGAGCTGCCAGTTGAGTCAAGGCCTCTATAGCGATTGCCTGATCAAAACTTAAATTCCGCTTTTCGGCTAAAGATTGCACGCTTGGGAGCAACTCTTTTTGCGTAGGCTCAGTTTTAATAGGCTGAGATGTTCCTTGCACAAGCTGAGGAGTCTTCAGATCATTCTCTTTCTGGAAATGAAAATCTGGTGGTTCAGTTTTGATGGATCGCAAAATATTCGAACGCGAACCGAATATTTTATCCTCGAGTCCCTTTCTCTCCGTAACTGACAAGCAAACCACCGCAGCCAAAGTTGACAACGGATCTTCGCAAACTTCTTCAACATCTCGCAGGCGTTTCGTGGCCTGCTCCGTGAACCACAACCAAGGTTCCTCCGTTTTGATCTTTTTCAGAGGAACCGTGAAGTCCTCAGGTGGAGTCTTGAGTCCGTTTTTTGGAACCATAGTTATAATCGTCCTTGGAGGTTCATTGGAAGTCACTGTGCTTTTTGGGGGTTCGAGATAGCACCCTGTTATCATGTTAGCACCTTGAGTTTTTGTCTTAGAGCAGCCATTTTGTAGAGTTACAGAGAAGGGTTGGTGAAGTCCGTTACAGGCTGGTTCACCCCTTGGAAGTGCAGGATTTGAAGCGTATTGGTGATTATTGTTGATGTTGATGTGAATTTGAGGTATATTATCATCTTCCTCCCCATCTTCCTCTGCTGCTGCTGGCTGGGAGGCATCCATGTGAGTTTTGCCATTGACCGGCCAGGTTTTTGGAGCCACCTGAAACACAGAGAGAGGAAACAAGATGAGCTATGGGTGTGTGCAGTAATCCACCTTCATTATTGTTCATTCGTTATAATAGTTACTGCAGCTGGTGGGCCATTTCCTTGTCATTACAAGCAGGTTTTTAAAGATCACATTCTTTTTAGTAATTCATGTGTCTACTGTTTCCTCCATTTAGTTAGGGGAATAATTAAAGACATGGTAAATTGAGGGGTGGAGGACGTGTCTGGGATGAAGGAAGTCTGAGAGTCCCTGCTTAGACCCGGCGCTGGATAAGCGGAAGAAAATGGATGGATGGATAGATGGTAAATTGAGCTTTTCAAGGCACTCAAAACCACTCAACAATTCACACACACACAACAACAACATTCATCTGTGAGAGCTGGAATCGCACCGCCAACCTAATATGCCCGTGGATCTGACCACTCAACCAGTGATGTTTATGTCAAGAGCGGGATTTGAACCACCAACCTTCAAATCGGAGGACAAACACTACCAACTGAGCTACTGTTGCCCCAAAAAATGCTCTAAAAAATGTTTAAACATGTATTTACACAACCATCAACCTTCTACACCTCAAAATTCCCAAATGTTGCAGTAGTACAAAGAAAAAGTCCCCACAATAAATATTGCTGCCCAAAAATTAATGTTCCCTCTGTCATATATTGAACAAACTCAATATTCTAGAGGTGATTATTGTGACAGGTCTTCCAACAATCACAAAACAAAATGTAAAAGGCCCATATTACACAGTAGGGATGGGACGATAACCGAAATATCATGATATTGTATCATCAAAGTTCTCACAGTAATATCGTGGACCATTACAATACATGGAATTACAAGTCTCTGCTTAAATAAAGAGTTTTGGTGCAGCAATAGCTAAAAAAAAGACAGAGGGAACTACATAGACCATGATCCTTTGCTCCATTTCAGTGTTGACTACATGAAGAAATAACAGCTCTAAGCACTTTAAAGTCTTAGTTCTTTGGAATTAAGTCTTGTCAAGGCATTTTAAGAAGAAAAAGTAGCATATTACGTTTTGTTAGCCTCCACAAAATATCGCAATAAATATCGTACCACGAGGTTCAGACGATATTGTATCGTGAGATCATTACACCCCTATTACGCTGTATTTAAACTTCATACATGTCATTAGGATCATTTGGATCATTTCAGTCCTGGAATGGCCAATCCCCTCTAAACAAAAGGTAAAAGGTAGCTATTAACTTGAAAACTACTACATTATGACATCACAAGGTGGAATAGAGCATTTAGAGCTTTGGAGATGTTGACAGGCTAAACCAGGATTACTCTAACATGTGTGAATGAAACAAAACACAACTCCAGGAATATTTTTAACACTTAAAGCTCACAAGAGTCAGTTCCGTGTAATACAGAACCTTTAAATTGTGATGTTGCATTACAATAACTATTCAAATAAATAAATAAATAAACAGTCTCTGTTTAAAATCCCTATTCTAGCTCTTGTGCTCTCGTCTCTATTGTTGCCGGTTCCACTCCGCCTGCTCGGCTCAGTGGCACAGGAGCAGTGGGACTCCTGCAGCCTGTTTCTGTTGCGTCACAGATGTGGGGTCAGCGAGGGCAAGTGTGGAGAGTGTGCGCACATGTCACGTCTTGAGATCGCCCGGAGGAGTGGAGCTGAGCATGTGTGTGTATGAGGATGCGTGCGTGTGTGTGTGTGCATGTGTGTGCATGTGTGTGTGCGTGGGTGCGTCTGAGCCAGCCCATTGGCTAGAGCTCCTCTGCATGTCTAAGTGAGTCTTTAACCCACTTCAGGTTTAGTGCAGGCTAAGGCACAACATTACAGCGCTCTTTGACCTCTAGAGTCCATTGTGTTGACGTACTGAAAAGTGGAGCTGATTGTGCGTCATTATACAAAGATGTCAATAGCTTAAAAGGCCCATATTACGCTATTTTCTCATTATGTTGTTTCCTCATCAAAAACATACTCGGAGTTGTGTTTTGTTTCATTCACACATGTTTAACACACAAGTCCTGCATATTTACACTGAGTTCTTCTCTCAAACAGAAAACACTCAATACTAGGGATGTAACGATATCCAAGTCTCACGATATGATATCGTCACGGTACAATCGGTATGATATTTATTGCGATATTGTGGGAAAGCTCACGATATGTTGGGGACACTCAAGATTAGGGATGTAACAATATCCAAATCTCTCAGTACGATATTTTCATGATATATATCTCACGGTACGATATTTATTGCGATATTTTCTGGAGGCTAAACAGCTAAAACTGGTAATATGCTACTTTTTCCTCTTAAATGCCTCGACAAGACTTAATCCAAAGAACTAAGACTTAAAAGTGCTTGGAACTGTTATTTCTTCTTGTAGTCTACATTGAAATGGAGCAAAGAATCATGGTCTATGTAGTTCTCTCTGTCTTTTTTTTAGCTATTGCTGCACCATAACTCTTAATTTAAAGGTTGTATGGAGGATTTTTTTTGTTTCAAGTTGTCAATGATAGCATTATAGAGGTGCAGTAGCCTTGTAATTATGATGACCAAAAAAAAGAGAATAAAAATTAATCAACTCTGGAAGTGGTGGGGCTAAACATTTGCCAATAGATAACGACACTGCCTCATTATCTGTTAGCTGACAGGCTGTCAATCAATCTCCCTACGTTTCTAGCGTAACTAACTTGCCTGCACGCCGCCGGTACGTGGCTTACGTACGACTGTCACGCAGTCCACAGACGCAAGCCGCACAGACGCTGTTTACTCCACCAACGCAACAGTTCTTAGCGGCTTTTTTGACCTATATCTTCCTCGCAGTTCGCACAAAGTTTGTTGCAATGGCAGACAAGAATCCAGGAGCAGTTCGCCGCAAAAGAAAGTCCGTTTTTGAGGTCGCTGAAAGAAGAAGACAAGGGGAAAAGCAGCGAAGCCAAACTAAGGTGATTCTTGAAGATTCATTCCAGCGATGGCGCAACTGAAGCAGACGCAGGGTCTAAAGACTGAACCACTGGTCGCCAAATTACTCCTGGACAGGAAACTTCTGCTTATTATGAAAACGTACTTTATTTCCAAGAGCTAGACAAACGTTTTTCAGGACACGAAAGCGATATCCTATGTCTGAAAACGTAATTTTCAATGCAAAGAAAGAGTCCGCTTGCTGCTGCGTGTTGTAGCTAGTTCATTCGCACTGAATCTCCGCGCACCTTCTCTGCTCCCCTTTCCTGCTCTCCTGTCCCCGCTGCCCGATCCGCTCTTCCCCCTGCTCCTCACTTCTCCGGGCACGGAATCTCCGCGCACCGCTCCCCACTCCTCTCTCCTCTCCTCTCTCCTCTCCCTGCTCCCTGCTCCGCTCTTCTCCCTGCTCCTCACTTCTCGTCCGCGCACGAAATGTCCGCGCACCCGCTCCCCCCGCTCCTCACTTCTCCGCCTTGCCTAACCAACACTGTAGTTAGTTGTTTACAAGTCATGTGCAGCGCACCGGCTGTAAACAAACCTGTTTCTGGCATAGTGAGGAGGCGGGAGGAGGCGTTTCTACGTAGGGAGCTGTAGGGGAGGGGGGGTGGTTTCACGCATGCGCAACATTTGAAAAAGGACAAACAGTCGCTGGATTTCTCGTTCCTTGGAAAATCCTCTATACAACCTTTAAGCAAAGAGACTTGTAATTCGATATATTGTGATGGTCCACGGTATTATTATGAGACCTTTGACGATACAATATCACAATATTTTGGTTATTGTTACATCCCTACTCAATAACACTTTGTGATATCATGTGGTAATACAGGAAGTGCTCCACTGTATTTTTAAACTCTAAACACCTTCCGTAGAGTCATTTGGATAATTTCAGCTCTGGAATTTCCCATCTCTAAAAAAAAAAAAGGTTAACTTGAAAACCACCGCTTCATGACATCACAAGGTGGAACAGAGCATTTTGAGCTTTGGAGATATAGACAGACTAATAACAAAGAATTACTCAAACATGTGTGAATGAAACAAAACAAAACAAAAACATTCTAACGTGGCTTAAATCTAACAGTAAATTTTACGTAATATAGGACCTTTAATTTGCAAGGACATACTGGTAGCTTTTAATTTGCAGACAGTTTACTTGCATAATTACAATATTGTGATGTCAGCACATTGTCGGATCTTCGTGGCTAAACAAAAGTGAGTGGAGCTTTCGGTAATACAGGCATATGGTTTTATTGTTCATTTCTTAACCAATATTTCTCACCTACACCGCCCTTCTGTTGTCCCCATTAAAACCACAGTTCATCAGGGCCACAGCTTTGTACAGCCAGTTCTCTGTCTGGGTATTTACAAATAAGAAAGAACATTCCTAACCACAAATATGACAGCCTCCAATTAGCAGCATGAAGCGCCATGAGACAAAGGACGTTCAAGGTCAGGCTGTGCTGTGAATTGAGAGAAAGATATGAACTGAGATCTAGTCATTTCAAATTGTCAATGATCAGATAAAGGATTTAATGAAGAGGTTTACAGCCAATCTTCCATCAGTAAAAGCAGGAAAGCAGTTTTTTTCTGTCTTAAAATCACTGAAAAGCACTAAAATGTTCAAGAAAATAAAACTGAACTGATGTCTTTGTTTTTAGTAAGAAAAATCAAATTGAAGGTTGCGACTGACCAATACAAAGAAAGAAAATTGTGATTAGATGATTGATATTTTTATTTATTTATTTATTATTATATATATAAATGGACGATGTGTTCTAAAAAGGAAGTGAGCATGGGGGCTGTTTCGGCTCCATCTAGTCTGGTGTTTTTATTTCACTATTTTGTCTATAAATGAATTCCTATTCCTAATATGGAACTCAGATCTAAATTCACCGTAACTTTTACCCTCAAGAGTTTCATTTGACTGGAGACAAATGCTATGGGTGACCTCACACTCCCTTAATCCACTTCTTTACACAGTCTCTGATTTGGACTGATGATTAGAGATAAATCAATATAACAGTAGGCCGATAGTCT